CAGTTCATGTCATGGCGCCACCTATGCAGAAGAGGATCTACATCCGGAAGGCAGACGTCGAGAAGTACACGCCTACAGATGGGTGCCCAGGATGCACATGCATCTTGCTGGGCCAATCTACCGTGTTGCCACACACGGAAGCATGCAGAGCCAGGATTGTGACTCTGATGAGGAAGGCAAGAGCAGATTAGAAGAACACGAGAGGAAGAAGAGATCTAAAAGGGATGAGAAGAACGAGGCCCCTGAGAGGGATGTGACAGCTGACGACGCAGCTGGAGCGCCGGCCGACAAGGCCGTGCAAGCTAGTGAAGAACGCAGGGATGAAGGCATTTTGCCATACCCTGACAACCCAGAGGAGAGGTCAAGCCTGAAACGTGCACCTGCAGAGCCCAGCAGTAGCAGTACGCCTGCAGGGAGTAAGGCTAAAGCCTCACCGGTCAAGCCTCACAAAAGACCGGGAGAACTCAGGATAGCCGCTGGACCTAAGCTGAAGGTCCAGCCACCCCAAGGAGAGAAGAGAGACCCTGAGGTATCAGTTGAAGATTTGAGAGATCAGACTGGAGAGCCACCTGCTGGAGCAACTACTCCAGGGCAGCCCCCGGACGCGGGAGGACTGTCTTTGAGCAGGGGAAAGGAGGTGGTGAAGAGGATGATCGAGAGGAGAATCAAGCAGGTCTATGAGCAGCAGGAGGTAGAGATCTCGTCAGTGGAAATTGAGACTCTAGCCAACATAAGCTGCGAGCTAAGCGCAGTACACATCATGGAAGTGTACAGTCCAGCAAGATTCTCTAAGGAGGCGAGCAGGTTTGGTTTAAAGCCTGGTTTCGCAATCGACCTTGAGGAGGCTAAACCCGACGGTTCGTTCTGGGACCTTAGCAGGCCAGAAGACGTCGAGGCCGTAAACCAACTGATTGATCGCGACGAACCAGTACTACTGACTGGGAGTCCGCCGTGTGATCAATTCAGCCACTTGCAGAACATCAACAAGTACAGGGTCAGCCCGGATCAACGTAAGATCCGTATGGATAAAGCACTGGAGCATTTGCACAACTCATGCAGCTTCTATAGGAAGCAGCTGGATGCAGGACGCCTGTTCTTACACGAGGCGCCCTGGAGTGCCACTTCGTGGAAAGATCCTGAAGTCAAGGAACTGACGGATCGCCCGGACACATATTTGGTCCGAGGGCCGATGTGCCGATGGGAGATGATGGCGACAGACCGCCGTGGTCTTCAAGGCACAGGCTATGTGAGAAAGGAGACCGGTTGGCTCACTAACAGCCGGGAGCTTGCTGAGCTCTTGGAAGGTGAGTGCAGCAACAAGGCAGGGAAAGATCCCTGGCACAGGCATGTACACCTTATTGGTGGAATTGCCAAACAGGCCGCCAGGTACCCACCTGCGCTGGTCAAAGCTGTCCTTCGGACAGTCAAAGCTTATCTTGTACAGAAGGGTGAGCTTAACTCAATGGAGTCGAATACATCAGGGCCAATCTGTGAGGAACCTTTTGTTCCAGCAGACTACATTGAAGAGTACTGGGATGATGTGAATGGAGGACTTCTACCAGCGGAAGAAGTTAAGAAGGCCAGAACTCTTGAGATGGACTACTTCAAGAAGCAAGGAGTTTACCGGAAGGTGCCGGTAACACAATGCTACGCAGAGGGACTTCGTCCAATCACGGTGAGATGGTTAGACACGAACAAAGGAGATCCTGAAAAGCCCAACTACCGGTCTAGATTAGTTGCCCGTGAAATTAAGGCAGCTAAGAAGCCGGAAGAACAGTTGCCGCAGAACCTCCTGTTCTCGTCAACGCCGCCGTTGGAGGCAATGCGCTACTTGCTGAGTGCCTGGGCAACAGACCGGGTGTCAGCCAAGGGCCGGAGACTGAAGCTCGGTCTCTGGAGCGCACTTTTATGGAGTTCCGAAGCGACGCATATATGTGGAGCTTCCACCAGAAGACGCAGAAGAAGGCTTCTGTGGTTTGTTGGAGAAGAGCATGTATGGTTGCCAAGACGCGCCAGCAATATGGCAAGACCATTATACCCAACTTCTTTTGAAGCATGGGTTTCAGCGTGGCCGCAGCAATGGTTCCTGCTTTTACAAGCCGAGCACAGGGTGCAGAGTGTTGGTTCATGGAGACGACTTTCTTGCGCTTGGTGATCAAGAAGCTTTGGATGAGCTGGATTCCACTCTAAGGAGTGCCTACGAGCTGAAACGGCTCGGAATGCTGGGAGACGAGGATGGAGATGATCGCGCAGCACATTTCTTGAATCGTCTGATCCGCATTGGCATGCACGAAGGCCAATCAGCGGTTTTCTTGGAACCTGACCGCCGTCATGTGGAACTTTTGGTGAGACATCTGGGAATGGTGAACGCGAAGGGCACTGAGACCCCAGACATCAAGAAGTCCGTGGAGCAGCAGCTTTTGGAGGCTAACAGCCCTCCGTTGGCACGAGAAGCAGCTTCACTTTATAGGTCGAGTGTGATGCGAGCAGCGTACCTCAGTCAAGATCGTCCTGATCTTTCGCACGCTGTGAAGAATCTTTCAAGGAAGATGGTCACCCCACCGAGGCGGCGATGCAAGACCTGAAGAGACTGTGCAGGTATTTGCTGAAGTATCCTGATCTTTGTCAAGTGTTTGGGAGACAAGCCAAACCTTCGAAGGTCCGTATACAGGTTGATTCTGACCATGCAGGAGACGCTGTCACTAGGCGAAGCACTACAGGCATGGTTGCCCTCTATGGTAGCCATACACTGAAGCACTCAAGCAACGTCCAGTCGACGATAGCATTGAGCACTGGAGAGAGTGAGTATTACGCTTTAGTGAAAGGCGGTTCTGTAGGATTAGGACTTCAATCCCTCCTTCAAGACTTTGGAGTTGAGGTAGAGGTTCTAGTAGAGTCTGATGCAACCGCAGCCAAAGGCACGGTTAATAGAGTAGGCCTGAAAAAGGCACGCCACATTCAAACTCGTTATCTGTGGTTACAGGAACGTGTGGCGATGAACCATTTAAAGGTAGAACACATACCAGGCAAGCGGAACAGGTCTGATGTGCTGACAAAGTCAGTACCCGGAGTCCAAATGAAGGACACAATGAATCGTTCCGGATTTGTGTTTCTTCAAAGCAAGAGTAAAGGCCAGATGAGTCTTCTAGATTCGTAAGGCCCTGGTCCAGGCTCCGACTACCGCACTGTATAGTTGCTGTGCGGGAGATCAAGCACCCTCCAGCAAGGAGGAGTGTTGAAATATGTAGCCCAATACGCATGTTGTCATATACAGTTGTACAGTTGAGACTATTGACATGTTTTGGCTCAAGAAAATAAGGCGCTCCGAAGCGGCCAAATAGATTTTCATATGCATTATGTGTCAACTATCATGCATGCTGCATGCATCGTGCATGCTTGTTGTATGCATGTTGTATCCATGTTGCATGCATGGGGTGTGCGTGCTGTATGCGGGTTGCACGTATCTTTCATGCACTTTGTGCATGTTTCGTGCATGTTGTATGTATGGTTGTATGCGTATTGTATGGATGACGAGTGCACGTTGTGTGCACGGTGTATGCATTGTGTTTGCGTGTGTATGCATTTGGTATGCATATTGTATGAATGCTGTACGCATGCTGCATGCGTTTTGTATGCGCAATGCACAATTTCTGTTTGCATGACGGTTGCATTTTGTATGCATGATGTATGCATTGTGTATGCGTGTCGTATGCGTTTGCATGCATGTTGTATGATGTTGTGAGCGTGTTGTATGCATGTTGTATGCATTGTGTAAGTGTGATGCACCTATCTTGTATGCATATTGTATGCGTGTTGTATACCTGATTGGTGTCGTTGTGTATGCATCTCGTATACAGTTTGTATGCATGCTGTAGGCGTGCTGTATGCATTGTGAAAGTGTTGTGTATGAATTGTGTATGCATGCTGTATGCGTGTTGCGTGCCTGTCGTATGCATTTTGTGTGCACCCTTGTATGGATGCCGTACGCCTTGTGTATAACTTATGTATGCATGTTCTATTTATGTTGCGTGCATGTTGTGTTCGTTTGGTAGGCATGTTGTGTGCATGATGTATGCATCGTGTTTGGATTTTGTATGCATGTTGTATGCGTTTTGTATGCACGACATGCATTTAGGGTGCATGTTGCATGCATGTTGTATGCGTGTTTTTGCAGTTTGTGTGCACGGCGTATGCATTGTGTCTGCATTGTGTATCACATGTCATGCATGTTGCATGCATTGTGTATGCTTGTTGTATGCATGTTGTATTCATGCATGTCACATGCGTGCTGTATGCTTTGTGCATGCATGCTGTACGCATGTTGCACGTATCTTTCATGCACTTTGTGCGCCTGCGCAGGTGTCATGCATGTTGTATGTGTGCATTTTGTATGGAAGATGAGTGCATTATGTTTCACATTTTTGCCTAACACCATGCGCAGACACAGGGTGGCGGTCAGGATGGTCGGGATGGTCGGGATGGTCAGGATGGTTGGGATGGCCGGGATGGTCGGGACGGTCGGGTTGGTCGGGACGGCGGGGTTGGGACGGTGAGGCGGGACGGGGGTGGTCGGGATGGTCGAGATGGTCGGGATGGTCGGGACGGTCGGGATGGTGGGACGGTGGGCATGGACGTCGGGACGCTCGGGATGGTTGGGAGGCGGGACAGACGGTCGGGACGGTCGGGATGCTCGGGATGGTCGGGATGGTTGGGATGGGCGATACTAGGTTCTGGAATCACCAGACACATGTTACCAGCAAGAGCGTACAAAAGGGGTGAAGTTAACGATTTTGACCCTGCAACTCATTTTTTCCTGTCCGTGTGATGTCACGTGATGATGTCCGACCAACGCCTGCCGCGTGTCCGACTTGCCACATTTGGATGTCCGGCTCGCGTCGTCCCCGATGTCCGACTCCCCGAGCACGATGTCCGACTACCGGTGTCCGACTTTCCGCTTAGCCCAACTAGCTAGCATCCGTTTGGAGCGCTCGTGATTTGAGGCCAGGAACCGCAACACTTGCAGCCGGCCATCCGCAATTCTGGCGTGTGCTTGCTTAAATCGAGAACCATTCAAGCGTAGAAGTGGACGATCGGAGCGTTTTGGAACGCCTTGTCCCCTTCTATGATTGTTGGAGAAAGTCTAGTTGGTCGCGTCGGCCAGGTTGGGACAAGAGGCAGCTTCCTTGCCCAACAAGTTGACATGAACAGCGCCAGATCGTGCCAAGTTCAGCTTGTTCTTGCCCCCTTCTCTCCCTTTGAAATCTTGAAATTTAAAGGCAACCCGGCTACAATTGTCGATGTCGAGTGAATGGAGGGCCCTGTTCAATCACGCTGTGCTCGAGCCGCGCCAGACCGCACACCATTGCCGGCAGATGTGGCAAAATGCGCTGCGAGGCATGCTTTGGCTCTTCTTCTTAGTGGCTTCACAAGGCCAGAGGTGAGCAACATGGAACCCAAGAAGGGCCCTGAAAGGAGATTCCTGTAAACATTGTGGTAAGGGTTCTTTTGTTTCTTTGCAGGGTGGGGGATGTGGCGACCCGCAGGGCAGCCCTTTCCCTGTTGTCAGCCGAGCGATGTGTTCACTCGCTCTGAACCCAGGTGGTTGCACGAGGCCAATAACCGAGAGTACCCGACACAGCTTGTCCGTCTTCATTGATGGGCTTTCCCACGTGCATGCCAAAGGGGCTTGTGTGCTATGCGACCCCCGTCTTCACCAAACAAGAGGCACCAAAGGGCGCTTGCCAGCCATTGACAGGTGTGCCATCTCTGACTCACGATGAGGCCAGGCATATTGAGTTAGCGGCTTGCTTGCTTGCTTGCTTGCTTGCTTGCTTGCTTGCTTGCTTGCTTGCTTGCTTGCTTGCTTGCTTGCTTGCTTGCTTGCTTGCTTGCTTGCTTGCTTGCTTGCTTGCTTGCTTGCTTGCTTGCTTGCTTGCCCTTTTCTTCCTTTTCTTCCTTTTCTTCCTTTTCTTCCTTTTCTTCCTTTTCTTCCTTTTCTTCCTTTTCTTCCTTTTCTTCCTTTTCTTCCTTTTCTTCCTTCTCTTCCTTCTCTTCCTTCTCTTCCTTCTCTTCCTTCCTTCCTTCCTTCCTTCCTTGCTTCCTTGCTTCCTTGCTTCCTTGCTTCCTTGCTTCCTTGCTTCCTTGCTTCCTTTTCTTCCTTCCTTGCTTCCTTTTCTTCCTTCCTTGCTTCCTTTTCTTCCTTTTTTCCTTTCTTTCTCCTTTCTTTCTCCTTTGTTTCTCCTTTTTGTTCTCCTTTCTTCTCCTTTTTTTCTCCTTTTTTCTCCAGTGTTTCTTTCTTTCTTTCTTTCTTTCTTTCTTTCTTTCTTTCTTTCCACTCTCTCTCTCTCTCTTTTTGTCTTTCTCTTTCGCTGTCTTGGTCTTTTGGCACCTCGCTCTCCCTCTCCGTATTGCTTCCTCTCGCTTTTGCCTCCGTCTGTGGTCTTCTGCTGTTTTCGACTTCGGAGCCTTCAGGTTCTACGCCACGCGCGCTCGCTGTCCACGTGCCTTCGGCTGCATCTTGCGCAGGCCGAAGGATATCTTGCGGGTGCTCAGTGGGAATGATGCGGGGTTTTGCGAATGAACCGGAAGTTGATCCCCTTTAAGGCAAACACAGGGGATGGTTTATAGGGGTCGTTCCCTCATTTTTCCTGCTGAGAACCGGCAAGTTCTGGCATAAGATGAGAGGATGTCTCCACCTTTAGCGCTGGAATTGGGGGAGGCTTGGCAGGCTGTAGTTCCATTTCAGACTTGGACGAGTGGATGTGACACCCACTGCATGTCCGAAAGTGCTGAGGTTGTGGTGGCAGCTCGGCAGCAGTGATCGTGAGAGGCAAAGTGGGGTGCAGCTTGCAGGCTCAAATGAGCTCACCGGGGGGGGGGGGATGAACTCATTGTATGCATGCTGGTGCAGCAATTCAGTTAAAAGACTTCAAGTTGCGTAGCGCAAGCTTGCGCCGGTGGGCGCCTTTGCGTGTGAGAACCGCGGATTGGTACGTCCCTGGTTGATTTTCATTGGGAGTGTCCCCTTTTTGTGGGGATTCGTACTGGAGAAGAACCCCCTCCGTATTCATAGGACAGGTTGGCCAATTCGTGTTCAACATACTTCCAAGCTCAGGAAGGAGAGCAGCTGGGCAGAAGTAGTTGAGGCGAGCAGTGCTGGGGATGTCTGGGACAGACTGCGCGGTTATAACATGAGGCAAAACATGAGATATATGCATGCATGTACATGTTTGCATGCAGAGTTGTAGAGGGAAATGTCCTTTCCGGGAGGTGGGGAGAGTACCCTCGTTCCAACCACAAACTCACTCTTTGCTTGTTATTGTTTGAAAGAGGGTGTTTGATTTGCATCATTAAACCTTCGAACCACCCAGCGAAGTCACCAAGGTAGCCCAAAGGGACATGACTTGCATTGGAGCCTCGTGAGACGGAGCCGCAGGCGAGCCCAGGCTTCGCGGTGAGTGTGGGCCTGCATGCTGCAGGGGCCTTAGCTCGATGGACCACTCGTGCCGCGGCCGCTACAAGCCCACATGAACATGCCCAAGCCTGGTGCGGCGGTAGCGATCCGACAAAGACATGAGGGATAACATATGCCACCCAAACCGCTTAAGCCGCCCAAACCGCTTGAGCCACCCAAACCGCTTGAGGCTTGGGATGGTTGTGATGCTCCCAATCAACCTGTACCTTGGGTGGGGGCTCTATCAAACCTCACGCGACATCGCAGCTGTTTCAGTTCAATCATTTAGTCATTCATTGGCAATGCCAACATTCACACCCATGGGCATACAGGTATGTACAAGCATGATTGCGTTTAGTTTGTGATGGATGCAAGGATGTATGCCGTTGTGCGAGTCTGTGGTTGTCATGTATGTAATTCCTGTGACAGTGCTGGGGTGTAAACACATGTCGGGTTGGGTTTTGTTTAGCCTCAATGTGCTTTTTGGTTCTTTATGAGGGATCTCCCCCAAAAGGAGCAACCAACCGGTTACACTTGGACTTGTTTCAACATAGGGCCCCTAAAATGCATGGCTTCCTCTTGGCTTCAAAGCAATCCCAGAAAGGACCCCCCCCCTCCAACACAAAAGAAAAGAGGCACACCCACCTCTTACGTGAACCGCCACCGTGTCCCAAGGTCGCCCACATCCTGAAGAATTGGCACGGCGGCCTGCAGACAACACACTGGGCAGGGCGGCTCAGCACACGTGCGCATGTTTTTTTTTTTCTCCATTTAAGGCACCAGGTGTGGATGTACTCTATGGGGAGTCGCCCCGACCAAGACCTTATGTAGGACGGCCTTGACCATTGTGAATTTGGTATCTCCAAAGTTAGGGGTGTTAGAAGGCCGCATGTGCCAGCACTCCTTCAGCATGGGAATCCACAGGTAGATCCAACATGTCACCCAGAAGCATCCGCATGCATAAATTTTGACTAAGGACACTTTCGTGGACACCATGTAGCTGGACATTCATGTCCACCCACCACTTTTGAGATGGCTTCCTATTCAAATTCATAGCCATCCGGGCGCCTCAAGGCTTGGCGATAACCGAGGCTTTCCAGCATGCAGCGGACTGGCTGCAGCCTGACGCTCTGACGGCGAGGTTTGGCGAGTGACCCCGCAAAAAAGGCAGTTTCCCCACAGTTCTTCCTGCAAAAGCCACACCCAAACTGTTAATATTAAGTAACCCCAAACCCTCCAAAAAGTGGTTCCCCCAAGCATCGACACGCAGCTCATAGAGACTTGGGTCCTGCCCTCAGGCTGTACAGGTCCTATGTGGGGCGCATCGACCTGCAAGATCTGACCAGCAAGGCCCAGTCCACTTTGGGTGACAAAAGGGAAATCACAAGGGGACGTGTGTGTTGTTCCCAGACCCCCTGTTTAGCCCCCATTTGATTTCTTCAGGATTGTCAAATGTTTCAGGATGGTGGGCTGCGCATTGCCGACTTGGACCAGGCCAGGTTGTGTGGAGCATATGGTCCAAATGAGCATCCAAACAATAGAGGTTCAATCAACATTTTCAGTAGTCTATGGCCATGTTGCGAGGGATGTGTGAGGACGCGCTAATTTCCTGCAAAAAAGCAGGGATCTCACACATCTCCGTTTTTTTTTTTGCGAAGCAGGCAGACCGTGACAACATGGTGGTCCAGTCTATTTGAACAGCTTTCCACGCCCAAAGTTTCAATGTGGCAATCCTTGTGCCAGGCAATCACACGCTGGCTTCAGTTTGGGCCCTAGCTGTCCTTGCTTCGCAAGAGAGAGTATGTGTGTTTTTGCTTTGTTCCCTGCCATGAGTGCTGAAGTTCCAGCATGGGTTTCCGCCTTCGATTTGTACTTAGCCCAAGCTGCAGACAGCGCTTGCACCCAGCTTCGCGTGCCAAAAGCCACTGACATGGAGGCAAAGCGCGATGTGGAGGTTTGCAGCCAGAACAGCACCACAAGTGGATGCAGCAGCAGCAATTGGAGCCATAGTATGATCTCCAGCTTCACGATTCCCAGGGCCAAGTTCCGGCGTGGGGGTATTTTGCCAACTGCCATTTGCCTCAGCAAGGCTGCGATCGGCGCGGGGGTGCTGTCCGTGGCGGCGCATGGTGCCCAAGTGGGCGCTGTGTATCAGTTCGCATGTTTGGTCCTGGGCGCCCTCCTCACTTTGGCCAGCATCCGCATGATTGCGAACGCCAGCGTGGAGACGGGGTGCTGGAGCTACGAGGACATTTGCGAGGAGCTGTTTCACCCGGCCATGTCGCTGCTCACGGGCTTCATCAACGTCTGCAACTGCCTGGGCTCAGCTGCTGGGTATTTGATCGTGTGTGGGCAAGTGTTTCAGGTGATTTTCCAGGCGGATGACCGCGGCCGAAACGTGTTCGTGGTGCTGATGGGCGTCTTCGTGTGCGGGCCTTTGGCCTTGGCCCGGCATGTGGGCTTCATGAGGCACCTGGCAGCGCTCAGCGTGGGGGCTTTGCTGCTGCTGGTGGGGTCGGTGTTGTGGTACTGGGCGGACCACGGCATTGACGAGTCCATAACCGTGGACAGCTTTCTGCTCCCCAGCTCGGGCGCAACGGTCTGTACCTATACGAACTCCATCAATAACATGGTCTTTGCCTACAACAACCAGTTCAATGTGCCGCAGCTCACAGGGGAGTTGACTCCCACACCGTCGGTGCGCAAGATGTCAGTGGTGGCTCTGCTAAGCACGAGCCTGTCCTTTCTGCTCTATGGGAGCGTGTCCATCTTTGGAGTGTTGGCATTTGGCGTGGGCGACAATCAGAAAGACACGCTGATCCTGGATCTGATGCCGGCGCGCAAGGAGTGGCATGTGGTGCTGTCCCTTTTTGCAGTGATGTTCAGCGTGCTCACATGCTTCCAGTTCCACGTGTACCCCATTCGCCAATTCTCCGCCTATGCGGTGCGAAAGCTCCGCGGGCTTCCGGCCAACGCCAAACACGAGGACTTGGAGAAGGCGGCGGATGGGTCGGACGGTTGCTGGGGCCGGTCGCTGGCGCGTTGGCTGGATATCGCTTGCGCTTTAGGGGCCGTGGCGGTGGCGATCTTGATCGCAGTGGTGGTCACGTCCCTGCGGACTATCCTGGACTTCATCGGGGCATTTGCCTCCGCATACATCTCCTACGTGGTGCCGCCGCTGTGGATCCTCGCCCTCCGCAGGAAGAGCAAGAACTTCTCCTGGCTGGCTCCGGAGATACTCTTCAGCCTGTCATTGCTGTGCCTCGGCGTCTTCTTCTTCGTCTTCGGCACCTACTCCGCCATCAAAGGTTAATCTGGGCTTTCGCAACAGCATTTCAGCAGCTCGCAAAGTGGCGAATATCAGGCAGACTGCCTGCTATCTGTGCAGTCTGCCTGCCAAATTCCATGCGGTTCTTTGCATGGCTTGATGGTATATGTTTGTATAGGTTGGTTTGCACGTTTGCTTTTCCACGGGGGTGAGTCCACCTATTCTGGTGGAAAGGCCTGCCTTGTACAGGGATTGCAGGGGATGTTCAGCATCAGGCGCTCTCATGGTGGAGGGTCTACACCACAGCGCTGGCCCTAAGCCGCTGGCCCAAAGCTTATCATTCTTTCCATGCGCTGCCCCTACGCACTTTTGCGAGGGCGGAGCGTGGAACTCAAATCCCAGGCTGCCTTGTATTCACGAATGCAGCCTGCAAAAGCAGCATTCTCCTCTTGGATTGTTCAGGGCGGAGCTTGGCCAGCAAAAGGAGGATCTCAACCTTCTTGGAGGATCCTACTTTGGCCAGGTGTTTTCATCTTCCTTTTCCTCTCCCTCTTGCTCTCCCCCCCTTCCCTCTGCTCCGATTTCTTTCTTTTTCTCTTCCTCCCACCCAGCCACCCCCCGCCCGCCCGCCCGCCCGCCCGCCCACCCACCCACCCACGCATCCATCCATCCATCCATCCATCCATCCATCCATCCATCCATCCATCCATCCATCCATGCATCCATCCGTAACAATAACAAGCGCAACGGAACGCAACAACATGACAGTGCATCCATACACACATACGAAAGTACCTGCCCACCCACCCACCCACCCACCCACCCACCCACCCACCTACCTACCTACATACATACATAAATACATACATTACATACATGCACACATACACGCACACACAGACAGGCAAACGCACACATATGCACATACACACATAGACCTGCACACACGCATGCACATATACACGCACACGCACACACATGCACATACACCTGCACACACGCATGCACATATACATGCACACGCACACCCATGCACATACATACACACATACACCTGCACACACGCATGCACATATACACGCAAACACGCACAGGCACACATATGCACATACACACATACACCTGCACACGTATGCACATATACACGCAGACACGCACACGCACACATATGCACATATACACATACACCTGCACACAGACACACACACAGACTCAGACACACACGCACGCACATAGACACTCATGCACACACGCATACACATCTATGCGTACATACACACATAGCACCTGCACACACACACGCATGTACATATACACGCAGACGCACACGCACACGTATGCACATACACACATGCACCTGCACATACACACATGCACCTGCACATACGCATGCGCACATATACGCATGCACACACACGCACACACATCTTTGGTGCACGCATACCCCTGCACACGCTCGTGCACAAACACGCGCAGACACGTACACGCACACATACGCACATACACACATATACTCACACACGCATGCACATATGCACGCATCCTCGCACGCATACACATCTATGCATACATACAAACACGCATCTGCACACCCGCATGCACACTCACACGCAGACACGCACACGCACACACACGCACATACACACATACACCTGCACACACGCATGCACACACGCATACGCATCTATGCATACATATACAAAAACACCTGCACACGCACACACACGCACACGCACATGCACATATACACGCAGACACGCACACGCACACATATGCACATACACACATACACCTGCACACACGCACACGCACATAGACACGCATGCACACACGCGTGCACATCTATGCATACATACAAACATACACCGGTACACACGCATGCACATATACACGCATGCACACACACGCGCACATATGCACATGCACACATACACACGCACGCACATATACACGCATGCACACACGCATACACATGCACGCATACACACACATACACCTGCACACACACACGCATGCACATATACACTCGGACACGCACACGCACACGTATGCACATACACTCATACACCTGCACGCACGTGCACGCACACATGCACGCATGCACACACGAGTACACATTTATGCATACATAGCACCTGCACACACACGCATGCACATATACACGCAGACACGCACACGCACACACACGCACATACACACATACACCTGCACACACGCGTACACATTTATGCACACATACACACATAGGCTTGCACACACACGCATGCACATATACACGCGTAGACACGCGCACGCACACACATTATGCACATACACACATACACCTGCACACACACACACACACGCACGCACATATACACGCATGCACACACGCATACACATCTATGCATACATACACACTTACACCGGCACACACGCATGCACATATACACGCAGACACGCACACGCACACACGCACACACATTATGCACATACACACATACACCTGCACACACACGCACGCACACCTACACGCATGCACACACACACGCATACAGATCTATGCATACATACACATATACACCTGCACACACGCATGCACATATACACGCAGCACACACGCACGCACATATACACGCATGCACACACGCATACTCATCTATGCATACATACACACATACACCTGCGCACACGCGTTCACATATACACGCAGACGCGCACACGCACACACATTATGCACATACACACATACACCTGCACACACACGCACACACATACACACGCATGCACACACGCATGCACATCTATGCATACATACACACATACACCTGCACACACGCATGCGCATATACACGCAGACACGCACACGCACACACATGATGCACATACACACATACACCTGCACACAGACACACGCACGCACATGTACACTCATGCGCACACGCATACACATCTTTGCATACATGCACACATACACCTGCACACACGCATGCACATATACACGCAGACACGCAAACGCACACACACATTATTCACATACACACATACAGCTGCACACACACGCACGCACATATGCACGCATGCACACACGCATACACATCTATGCATACATACACACATACACCTGCACACGCATGCGCATATACGTGCAGACACGCACACGCACACACATTATGCACACACACATACACCTGCACACACACACGCAAGCACATATACACGCATGCACACACTCATACACATCTATGCATACATACACACATACACCTGAACACATGCATGCACATATACACGCAGACACGCACACGCACACACATTATGCACATAGACACATACACCTGCACACACACGCACGCACATATACACGCATGCACACACGCATACACATCTATGCAAACCTACGTACACCTGCACACACACATGCACATATACACGCAGACATGCACACGCACACACACATGATGCACATACACACATACACCTGCACACACACGCACGCACATATACACGCATGCACACACGCATGCACATCTGTGCATACATACACACTTACACCTGCACACACGCACGCACATATACACGCATGCACACACGCATACGCATCTATGCATACATACACACATACACCTGCACACACACGCACACACACACACACGCATGCACACACGCATGCACATCTATGCATGCATACACACATACACCTGCACACACGCATGCGCATATACACGCAGACACGCACACGCACACACATGATGCACATACACACATACACCTGCACACACACGCACGCACATATACACGCATGCACACACGCATACATATCTGTGCATACATTAACACTTACACCTGCACACGCGCACGAACTTATACACGCATGCACACACGCATACGCATCTATGCATACATACCCACATACACCTGCACACACGCACGCACACATACACGCATGCACACACGCATACACATCTATGCAGACATACACACATACACCTGCACACACGCGTTCACATATACACGCAGGCACGCACACGCATACACATTATGCACATACACACATACACCTGCACACACACGCACACACACACACACACACGCATGCACACACGCATGCACATCTTTGCATACATACACACATACACCTGCACACACGCATGCGCATATACACGCAGACAGGAACACGCACACACATGATGCACACACACACATACACCTGCACACACACGCACGCACATATACACTCATGCGCACACGCATACACATCTTTGCATACATACACACATACACCTGCACACACGCATGCACATATACACGCAGACACGCACACGCACACACATTATGCACATAAACACATACACCTGCGCACACACGCACGCACATATACACGCATGCACACACGCATACACATCTATGCATACATGCACACATACACCTGCACACACACGCATGCGCATATACGCGCAGACACGCGCACGCACACACACTCTATGCACACACACATACACCTGCACACACGCACGCACATATACACGCATGCACACACGCACACACATCTATGCATACATACATACACCTGCAGATATGCATGCACATATACACGCAGCCACGCACACGCACACACATTATGCACATACACACATACACCTGCACACACACGCACACACATATACACGCATGCACACACGCATACACATCTATGCATACCTACACACATACACCTGCAGACATGAATGCACATATACACGCAGACACGCACATATACACGCATGCACACACGCATACACATCTATGCATACATACACACATACACCTGCACACACGCATGCAGATATACACGCAGACACGCACACGCACACACATTATGCACATACACGCATACATCTGCACACACACACACGCACGCACATATACACGCATGCACACACGCATACACATCTATGCATACATACATACACCTGCACACATCTGTGCATACATGCACACTTACACCTGCACACACACACATGATGCACATACACACATACACCTGCACACACGCACGCACATATACACGCATGCGCACACGCATACACATCTATGCATACATACACGCATGCACCTGCACACACGCACGCACATATACACGCATGCACACACGCATACGCATCTATGCATACATAGACAATCATACACACATACACCTGCACACACGCACGCACATATACACGCATGCACACACGCATACACATCTATGCATACATACATACACCTGCACACACACACACACGCACGCACATATACACGCAGACACGCACACGCACACACATTATGCACCTACACACATACACCACACACACACACACACACGCAAATATACACGCATGCCCACACGCATACACATCTATGCATACATACACACACCTGCACACACGCACGCACGTATACACGCATGCACACACGCATGTGCACCTATGCATACATACGCACATACACCTGCACACACGCACGCACATATACACGCATGCACACACGCATACACATCTATGCATACATACACACATAGACTTGCACACACGCATGCACATATACACGCAGAGACGCGCACGCACACACACACACACACATTATGCACATACAAACATACACCTGCAAACACACACGCACACACACGCACACACACGCACGCACGCACACGCACGCAGGCACGCACGCACGCACGCACGAACGCATACCGCACGCACACACGCATACACATCTTTGCATACATGAATGCAGATGGGCGTAGGCATTCTTCTTTTCCAGGCGAGCTGTCCCTCCGGAGGTCCTCCTTCCCCGCCTCGGTGAACATCGTCCTCCGGGAGCGGGTCGAGGAGCTGAGCGTGACACCTAGGAGCTGAGCAGGTCCCTTCTCAGCCGTTGGGCGGTTGTTTCAGGAGGGGATGGGCCATTGGTGTCGTGTTTTGCTGGAGAGGTTGAGGGTTGGGGAGGACGTCCTGGATCCATGTTCACGTGAATTTTCGGACCTGTTCGTTGCCAGCAAGGCAACAGCAAGCCCGAATTCCTTCAAAGCTTGCGAGTTCTCGCCCCTTCAATGAGGCAACAAGGGCGACTACGAGCAGCTGAGCAACCAATGCTTCCTCTGCCCAGCACTGAGCCGTGGCTCATGTGATCTCATGTGATTTGGACCAGCCGCCCAGGGTCCCTGGCCGAAGCTGCCCAGGCCAGTTGGCCACAAACACATATGCACACACATTTTGTACATAGAGTAATGTATGTGTATATATATATACTGGTTACAATTAAATGAGTTGTCAGGCACTCGAGAAGCTGCAGCTTGACTATGTGCTCCTGGGGGCAGTGCAGTCTGTGCCACACGTGGCAAAGGCATGCCGCGTGACCCTGAGGTACCCTGCCAGGGCACGTTGATAGCATTGCTTCGCCGCTTGGCTGGTCATGCAGCCGGCAGCTCGTTTGGGAAGGGCAATTCAGCGATCTTAAGCGCACTTTTGGGACGGCATACGTCATTTTGAAATGGCTGTTGTAGCTGAAACTTGAATGTTGCATCCAAAACAACTATTGTTGAATGCTTCGATTGACAGTGAAACGCAGCCCAAACACGGCGCGACCAATTTGGCCAATTTGATTCTACTTGTTCAACAACATAGCGAAGGCATGAAATGTGCCTGCAGGCTACGGCACCTTTCCCGCCGGTCGCCTGAGCAGCGGAAAGCTGCTCGCCTTGCAGTAGCAAAACGCGACCCCATCCCAATCAGTTTCATGAAATCTGCAGTTGCATTTTTTTTTGGGGGGGGCAGGGCGGGCCAAAAATGATTTTGTCATTGAGGTGGGATGTGGTGGACAACGATGCCGAATTGATGATTTTGGCGGAACCAGGCCAGACGCCTTTTCAGCATGGTGTTTGCAGGCAGGTGTCTTCCATTGCAACTGTTCTTCGACGACCAAACCTGTAACTTTAACAGCAACACTTCAAATCTGCTGATTCCAAACGGAGACACCGATCGATTTCCCGGCATGTTTTTGTCACATGTCCAGCCAGTCCTCAGGTTTCGACCAAACATTACTTCTGGCGAGCATCTCCATGGCGTTGGAGGCGCTATGGAGAAGATCTAACAAATGGACATCCTCCAAAATTGCCGGGCTCCTGGTTGATCAAAAAGGGCTGCCCCAATTCAGAGAACTTTCACGAACCAACGCCGGTACTGATGACTCCCCTGCAACGAAGCATGCCACCTTCAGACAACATGCTCCAACACACCCTAAACCCTAAACCATAAACCCGAAACAGTTAACTTGCACAAGAGTACATACAGAATATCATACTGGAACCAACACACATTTTACACGAGAAACGACCTTCCAAAGCGTCGTGTGGCAGGCCAAAGGTTGGCCTCCATGCACGGTCCCGCGGGACGCTTATCCAATTGCCACAGCATTAGCTGCATTGTTACTGCCGGTAGCGCATGAGAAGAGACCAAATGGAGGCAATGTTCACGTTCGCAGGTGTATGTTTGATATCTTGATTCATGTATGCGTCAAAGTAGGTTTCCATTTCAAAACGCAAACCATACACTAAAAACCACAAACACAAAGACAAGCAACCATTCGCTTTTGAAGCGCTTGCCATTTTTGAAATGCACTTCGAAGGACCTGCAAGCAAATCAAGCAATGCCTCTGAGGCATTTCAGGAAGCTGGTGTGTTTCAGCCAGAGCCCGGGCCGGCATGGGGATTTCGTTTCTCCGGAACCCAATGTTATCCTGGTTTCCACCAACCCGACCCCAGTGGATTAATAGAAACTGCCACCATTTGTACCGAGTGGAAGGGTACCTGATGAATGTGTGGAGGGGGGGCCAACGTTTTAACCCTATCTAGGGTTTGGTTGCGACTGCGTAAAGTTCGGGCTTGAGTTGTTTTTTGGATGCACGTTGGTTGCATCAGACTGCTGGTTAACATGCAGGCGGCCACATGTTCATGTCACCATGGAATTTTCAACGATGTGCTGAGGTTTGCATTTGGAAGTGCCGTGCAAAGTGGAGTTCTACCTCTTTGAGAAGGTGCGGAGTTTTAGCTGATTTGGCGTCGCCAACACTGAATTGTCAATATGTTCGGGAATATGTTCGCTACCTGGATGGCAACAAAACAGTATGTTCATCAATCAATTTATGCATTGATTGGTTCCAAATTGCCTTTGTGAACGCAGCAACACGAGCGACATCGAGCGACTGCGATCTTTGCATTGAACGTCCAGGACATAGATTATGGAGTGATCGTGCGGGCGTGCAGCTCAGGCTAACGTTGTCAACTGCAATCGAAGACATGAGCCATGGGTCAAAGTCTTCGTATTTTTTGGGTTAGTAGGGACCATTTTAGACAATCAGTGTATGGTTTTTTCTTGCCAGTTATCCCAACGACCCACAATGAAATGATCAGCGGTGGCTGCATCCCAGCTATGAGTCAAGGGTCCTTTGTTAGTGGGGAATTGTTCTTTCAAGTCACCTCCCTAAGCATCCAGGGGTCAGCAAGGTACGGGTTTGTTTTCAATTAAGGGTTCCCGTTCAAACCAAACAGGGGTCAGTGCTACTGGGGGCACACCCGGGCTTGGCAGAGTGCCACAATTGGGGCCCTTCGTTTGGCATCCGCTTCAACCCGCGGCACGGGTCCAAATAGTGGCCATGTGCTTGACAGGCCCCTCAGTTACAACCCCCTTTCAACTAATTGAAAGGGACACAACGACCCATTCGCACCTTCACACAAGGCCATGAACCAAACATGGTTTTCTTTTTGGTTTCCCTTTACACCAAACAAATCGTCACACACCCACACACACACACACACACCTGCTCGCGCGTGTGCCATACAATCCCCCGACCTCAGGAACGCCGCTGCCTCGGGGAGCCGGCGGTCTGTGCATCGGCGGCTTGGGCTTATCTGCCCGTCTGAGAAGCCCGGGAAGACGTGGGCGCGCGGGCGTGTTTCTTCGAGGGAACCATTTTGGGGGTGGCTACCAAAGGCAACCGCTGGAAAACCACCAGGTTGGATTTGCGGGGGTCCCTTATTAAAAGCACGCCCGGACCAGCAGGTGACTGCATTTGGAGTACGGCTCTTTCATGGAAAGTCCTGTGCACTCCCATGTTTGGTGGGAGGACACTTTGACTCACTAAGACTGCAGTGGGCGTATGTCTTGGCCTTATTTTGACTTCGGCCTACGTCAGACATTTTCTTGAATCGTGCTTCCCCCATCAACACTGATAGCGTGTCTGAATTTGCCAGGAATCTAATTTGGGCTCTGAGTGGCGAGTGTTTGATTTTGCATCACCCCCAAGATCCCCCAAGCGATCGCATGCCAATACTATGGGGAGTTTGGTGAATGGTTTTGCTCATGTGAGTCAGTTGACGGCACGGATTGCAACGAACCTCAACGCGCTTTTCTATCACACGCGAGCGGGACGCTCAAGTTTGGCACTGACCGCCAACTCGCAAAAACCATGGACAGACAATGACCTTGTGAATCAGCAAATGACCTGTGGCAGATTAATAGAAATCACGAAAACCTGAAAAGGAATCCGCAATTAGATTGCTCGTTTGTCCCCAGCCTTTGCTAATTAGAAGTGCAGATAGGTTTCGACCACTCGCGCCGAGGAATTCCCCTTGCAAGCCTGGCAGGGGCTTTGCCCTCGGCATGTGGGGTAAGCCGGGTGAAGGTCGTGCACTTGGTTTGTTTTCCGTTGTTTTTTCTCCTTTGTTTCTTCTTCGTATTTTATGTTTCTTTTGCAGATGATCAAAGAAACGCAGAAACAAACAGGCACGCCGGAAAACAATCAGGCCTTCTTTCATTGGAGTTGAGTTTCTGGCCAGCAATTTGAGCTTTTGTTTGTGCTTTGAGGCCCGGGCTTACACGCGATGGAATGCAGCCAGTGTTTTTTTATTTTCACTGGACCCTTAAACAGTGGACATGTTGAGGCGTTCTGAAAATTATTTCGGGGGGGTCTCCTCTATGCCAGCATTCAGAAGGTCGTTTTGGGGATGTCTCTTATGGACCCAAGACGTTTGCGCAGGTGTGGGTGCTGAGGTTTAAGTCAGTTTGGTTGAGAATAGACGGATTGCACTGATGATTCCATTATGTGTGCGAGTTTATGATGAGCCACACCTCATTTTGGCCAGAACTTGCAATCCTGGGAGTATGCACAGACTAATAGGCGAAGGCGCTTGCGAACTCCATCGACAGTTTGAGAGCGTGTGGCCTTCATCCACACTGGCTGTGGGTCAAAAATAGGTGCCCAAAATGGAACCCTGGTAAATGGAACCAAAGACTAAAACCTGCGGTTAATTTTGACCCACACCCTTCTAAATACAGTAGCTGGAGATGCACTAAAGTCCCTCCAGATGGGTTTTTCAATTTCAGGAACCAGCATCTTCCCACAGGCGGATTAGGCCAGTCTGAGGTGCGGGTCTCCCCCACTCATGTTTCTATGGGCCCATGTTGGCTTTTGCTTCATTTTCCTGGGGGCCCTGTTGAGGCAAGCAGTACGCATCTTGGGGGACTTGCTTGTTGGTTGGGAGGACCCGTTTTGTGGAGTTTTGAACTGGTTCGCCTTTACAATCGGTGGTCAATGAATTCAGTGTCGGCTTCAGGATTTGAGTTGGAAGGTGTTGCGTTTCCGAACGGGTAGTTGTTGGTCGCAAGCTGTATTTTGGAAGGGCGATCCTTCCAACCGTTGTTGGCCCGGTTTCCCAATGTGTGTTTTGTGGGGGCCCCACAAAAGAGCGCAACGGTTTCCGCGTAAACCCACTGTTTTTAGGGACATGCACTTTTATCATGCCTCTGGTGAATGCACCTTTGGCTCAAGTTATGTTCCCGGCGAATCTCTTCTGCCATTTCGTCGGTACCGCGCCTACGGCGCCACGCTCGTCTTGCGTTGTGGAAAAGGGTGCAGGCCGAGCAGTTGGCGGTGGTGTTAGTCCTGGAAGTGGGTCATTGGGTGTTTGGGGAATTCTTCGGTTTGCTCTGCGCCTTGCTTGGTTGGTTGCTTGCTTGTTTGGTGCTGCTTGCTTGCTTTGCTCTTCGTGCTGCGTTGGCACCCTTTCCTGCTTGGGTGTTGTGGTTTAAACAGGATTATGCAACGATTTACATGGGCAATCCGCAGCCCTTGCTAGCCAAGAGAAACAAGCGCACCGCGGGAGGGCGCAGGCCCAGGTGCGAGTAGTAGTGCTGCCCTGCGCGGGTCAGCTGCCCGTCCGCGCACGAGAGCAGCGCGTAGGCCCCCGGCCCGCGCCGTAAGTTCACGACGGCTCCATTTGCCCCCGCGCGAGCCCTGGCGCCGCCGTGCGCGGCCTCCGTGATTTGTTGTAGTTGTCTCCCCCAACTTGCTATTCTTGTTTTACGGGGCCATTTTTTGTCGGTTCCGCGCCGTGATCTCTCTCTCTATTCAGGTGGTCTCCATGAGCTTGACGGTTGCTGCTGCTGCTTCTCCTCACCTTGAATCCTTCTCCCTCCCTCGCTCTCTCTCTCTCTCTCTCTCTCTCTCTCTCTCTCTCTCTCTCTCTCTCTCTCTCTCTCTCTCTCTCTCTCTCTCTCTCTCTCTCTCTCTCTCTCTCTCTCTCTCTCTCTCTCTCTATCTCTCTCTCTCTCTCTCTCTCTCTCTCTCTCTCTCTCTCTCTCTCTCTCTCTCTCTCTCTCTCTCTCTCTCTCTCTCTCTCTCTCTATTTCTCTCTCTTTCTCTCTCTTTTCTCTCTCTTTTTCTCTCTCTTTTTCTCTCTCTTTTTCTCTCTCTTTTTCTCTTTCTTTTTCTCTCTTTTTTTCTGTCTCTTTTTCTCTCTTTTTCTCTCTCTTTTTCTCTCTTTCTTTTTCTCTCTCTTTTTCTTTTTCTCTCTCTTTTCTCTCTCTTTTTCTCTCTTTCTTTTTCTCTCTCTTTTTCTTTTTCTCTCTTTCTTTTTCTCTCTTTCTTTTTCTCTCTCTCTTTTTCTCTCTTTCTGTTTCTCTCTCTTTTTCTTTTTCTCTCTTTTTCTTTCTCTTTTTCTCTCTTTCTTTTTCTCTCTCTTTTTCTCTCTCTTTTTCTTTTTCTCTCTCTTTTTCTCTCTCTTTTTCTCTCTCTTTTTCTCTCTCTTTTTCTCTCTCTTTTTCTCTCTCTCTCTCTTTTTCTCTCTCTCTCTCTCTCTCTTTTTCTCTCTTTCTTTCTTTCTTTCTGTCTCTCTCTCTCTCTCTCTTTCTCTCTCTTTCTCTCTCTCTCTCACACTAGGCGGGACCCTTGTGCATGGACTGTGTGATTTTGCAGATACAGCCAAGCCGACGGAGAGAAAAGATCCAGAATTTTCCAGGGCTGCTGCCCAGTGCCACTGGGCGTGACATTGTTTGAGCTTGTTTGTTTAGAGGGCTCCCGGAGGTGTTTGTTCCAGGACTGTTTCGACGACGACACGGCCCGGTAACGCAATCTTTGCGACACCGCTCGATTTTATTGGTATGTATTGCTTTGAATGTCCGAGATGTGTGCGATACAGCAACTTAGTATTGAAACAGTATCTCGATAAAGCAAATACGGTCAACCGCTGGTGCGCGGGCCTGCTGCGCGGCATTGCCACAAGAGGCCGGCTGTCGATTTCGGTCGGGTCAGTTGATTCTCAATTTCCGCTTTGAACGAGCTCTGCAAGCCTGAAGGCAAGAATCGATCCGCGCGTGCGGGGCAGGCGTGTTGAAGAGCGAGCCGGGCTGCTACACCAACAAGGTTGGCTTCTGGCCTCGGTTGGTTGCAGCTCTTCCGGATGAGCTTTGGGCAGCGGGAACCCAAGCCGAGTTAGGTTGATTTCTGGCCTTGGATGGTTGCAGCTGTTCCCGCGCGAAGGGAGTCTTGTTGTGAGGTTGACTTTGATTTGCTAGAAGAGGGGAGAACAGAAGAGACAGGTTCATGCCCTGAGCGCGTGATCCGAGGCCTCAGGGGGGTGGGCTGATGGGGGGCGATGATGATGTTGGTGCGCTGGCGATGCATTTGGTTTTACATAGCCCCCGGGTGGCTATAACTCCCGACCCCCCGGGGACAACGCCAGTAAAGTGAATTGCCGCAGCCAATTTTTGGAGCATTTTTGGTTTGAGTGTTTTTGTCGACCCCGAGCGATTCTCCCAGGTACCGCCCCGGCCTGACTTCGGGCTGTTTTCGGTCTCCAGGTTTTGCACGAGTTCGCCGGTTTGAATGATTCGGAAACGCGGGGATGAAAGGTTCTTGTGTCTGTGATGCCGCTTGTTGTGCTATATGTGGCCTGTTTTGCTGATTCTTGTCGGTACGGGCAGGACCGTGGCTGGCTGGCCTCTAGTCTTCCTAGCTGTCTGCCTGCCTGCCTGCCTGCCTGCCTGCTTGCCTGCTGCATCCTCATCATCATCTTCAGCATCATCATCCTGACCGTCATCACCCTCATCCTCATCATCCTCATCATCCTCATCATCCTCATCCTCATCATCACCCTCACCCTCACCATCCTCATCCTCATCATCATCATCTTCACAATCATCTTCCTCATCATCATCCTCATCCTCATCATCATCCTCATCATCATCCTCATCATCCTCCTCATCATCATCACCACCACCCTCATGGTCATCATCATGATCATCATCCTTATCCTCATGATCGTCATCCTCCCCATCATCATCCTCAGCCTCACCATCCTCACTATCATCCTCATCATCCTCATCATCATCCTGACCATCATCATCCTCATTGTCATCCTCATCATCATCCTCCTATCCTTCAATTCTCCTCCTCACCATCATCCTCATCATCCTTATCATCACCCTCATCATCATCCTCACCATCCTCATCGTCTTCCTCATCATCATCCTCATCATCCTCATCCTCATCCCCATCCTCCTCCTCATCATCACCCTCATCATCATCCTCATCATCCTGATCCTCGCCATCATCATCCTCATCTTATCATCCTCGCCGTCGTCATCCTCATCTTCATCAGCAGCATCTCATCATCATCCTCATCATCATCCTCAGCATCCTCATCATCATCCCATCATCCGCATCCTCATCATGATCATCATCATCCTCAATCATCATCCTCATGATCATCCTCGTCACCCTCATCCGCATGATCATCCTCGCCTCGTCCTCACCATCATCATCATCCATCATCCTCATCAGCCTCATCGTCATCCTCATCATCCTCATCCTCACCATCATCGTCATAATCCTCATCATCATCCTCATCCTCATCCTCACCATCATCACATTCATCCTCATCATCATCCTCATCATTTATCCTCCTCACCATCCTCCTCATCACCCTCATCATCACCTTCATCATCATCATCCTCGCCATCCTCATCCTCATCGGCATCGTCACCCTCATCATCATCCTCATCATCCTCATCATCATCCTCATCATCACCCTCATCGCCATCATCATCATCATCATCCTCGTCATCATCCTCATCATCATCGTCATCATCCTCATCATCATCCTCATCATCCTCATCCTCATCCTCATCATCCTCTATCACCATCCTCATAATAATTATCATCATCACCATCATCCTCGCCATCATGCTCACCCTGATCACCACCATCATCGCTTTTCTTTCTCCTGCCTGGCGCCTGTCTGTGTCTGCTCCTCTGCTCGCCTGTTGCCTGCCTGTGTGCTGTCCTGCCTGCCCTGCCTGTGTTCTTGTTCGCTCGCTTGCTTCCTGCTCAGGCGATGGCTTGTCCGCGTGTTTGCTTTCTTGCTTGCGCGTGGAGCCGTTTCAAGCGGAAACTGGCACAGCGTTCTTCCGGCGCCGCGCGAAGGGAGTTTGAGTGTGATTTGCTAGAAGAGGGGAGAGCAGCAGAGACAGATTCATGCCGATCCAAGGGGATTGACCCGAGGATTCCCCATGGCTGGGTTGCGCGGAGGTTGATCCGCGTACGCGTGTGCAGGGCTTGAAGCCGTCTCTGATGTTCTCCTTTGTGCTGGCAGGGGGGTGGGTTGATGGGGGGATGATGATGTTGGTGCGCTGGCGACGCAGTCGGTTTTTACATAGCCCCCGGGTGGCCGCAACTCCCGACCCCCCGGGGACAACGCCAGTAAAGTGAATTGCCGCAGCCAATTTTTGGAGCTTTTTTGTTTTGAAGGCGCTCGGACGTGTTTTTTCGTGTTTTTGTCGACCCCGGACGATGCTCCAGGTACCGCCCCGGCATGCCTTCGGGCTGTTTTCGGTCTCTAGGGTTTAGACGATTTCGCCGGTTTGACTTCCTAGCTACCTGCCTGCCTGCCTGCTTGCCTGATTCTTTTATTTCTCCCGTCTTCGCTTGCATGCTGATTGTTTTCTTGGTTGCTTGTCTGAGGGAACAGAGTGAATTCAAAACTTAGACAAGATTAAGTTGCATGTGGGTCCTTGGGACTAACTCTGGCGGGAATCCTTTGGGTGGCGGGAACCCTCATCCAGGAATTAACTTTTGATCTTCATCGACTTTGATTTGCTAGAAGAGGGGGGAACAGCAGAGACAGGTTCATGCCCTGAGCACCCGATCCGAGGGGGGATGGCTGGGGTGGCGCGGAGATTGATCCGCGTGCGCGTGTGCAGGGCTTGATGCCGTCTCTGATGTTCTCCTCTGTTCTGGCACTTCAGCATCAGCCGCCGATACGGCTCGTGTGACTGGGATTGGCTGTCGGGGGCAGTTTTGTCGGACACAATCAATGGCGAGGCGATTCATTTCACCGGAGCAAAACTTAGGTCCCTCGTCCTTCACTGCCCGGCGCTGATGGGAAGCCCCGTCGGCGGCCCAATTTTGGAGAACTACAACTGCACCACTGAGGGTGCTGAGGCATCCCTGGATGAAGAGAATAAAATTCTCGGCCAGAAAACTTGTCCCGAGAGGGGATCAAATCTTGGCAAGCTTTCCTGAAGTTCGGGGCACCGCAGCGCTCAGTGGGCAGCGATCCAACGAGGCACGGTGTCCGGCACAACCAACCCAAAGCGGCTGAGTGTACTGCCTGGTGATCCGGTGCAGCATGGTCGCCATGTTGTTTGAAGCCCTATACGGGATTAAGCAACGCACGGGTTTGGACAATTGCAAACACGGAAGGCCTGGAAAGACGATAGCTCGGGCATTTCCAAAGGAAGTGATTTTTGCGCACTCAACCCTAATTGGGAAGGACGTGTCGTGCAAAGCGCGATTGGGCCACTGTTTGTGAGGTTGGATGCCGGCCGCGTGACCTATACGGGTTACGTGTTGCTCACGATGGCCTCTGCTCTCCTCACAACATGCGTACGGGCCTGACAAAAAAGCCAAACGAGAGAGTGAATCAAGTAAATGCATGCCAGGCATGTGGTTGTCGCCATTGACCTGAGGTGGCTAGCCATTGAGGGATGCGCAGCCGTATGCCAGACCCGACGCGGTCTGTTCGTAGCGCGAGCAGATTCGCACCTTTTGGAGGGCATGTTACATCCATTAGGAAGGATGTATCAGGGTATTTTTGCTCCACGTATGCAAAGATGGGTTTGCATGGCGCCATTCTAGGCAATATGCCCATATTTTTCAGAGAATGGGAGCCTGGCGCCGCTCGCTGCGCTGCTAGGTGTGGCAGGCCCGACTGGGTAGAAAACCCCAAAGCAGCTCCGGCCAACCGCGGGAAACGGTCGGCGCCACTCATGGCATCAGTAAACCCGACCATGAGGTTGTCCATATCATGATTCCCGATCCAAGAGGCTTTTTGCAGAAGTTTCGGCCACCGTCTCTTTACACACTCATGCAGCTGCAAGAGAGAGCGCTGTAAGTGGTGCCCCAAGCCCGGAGACTGCGACCGTGATTGGCTTTTTGATCGACCGCCCGCAGTTCGCGGCTTTGCGGGGTAGACATTTTTGACGGGAAGGGAAGTGTAAAGTCAGCCTTCGCCTATTACTTGTCAGTTTACATTTACGATGCGTGCCGCATCGCGGTGGAAGCGGGACGCCGCCCGCGAGAACATTGCAATGTCAATGATCCAGGCCGACGCGTTCGGGGTTTCCGTATGGAAGACACCAGTTTTGATTCTTTGGGGTTCTTTCATTGAGCGTTCTCGCTGAAGCATCTCGTGTGAGCGCGCGCCTAGACGGTGCTTGTTTTAAGACCAAGGTCTTTTGGTCAATGTGCCATTTTTCAACCATCTAGGATATCTCCTTAGTTTGAATTCAACAATCAAATCCCAAATGACGGCCTATAGTGCGTCGTTTTGGGTTGCATGCTATAGTAAGATGTTTTTATCTGCTTTCCCTCCTAGTCGGACTTGAAGCGTTGTTTCTTTCTTTCTTTCTTTCTTTCTTTCTTTCTTTCTTTCTTGTTTGGGTTTTTTGTTGATTTTGTTACCGGCGAGTATCCACCCCACGCCCGTAATTCGGGGTGGTGGTGGGACTTGAGCGCCAAAGCGCGCTCGGGTGTGGAGTTGCGAACCCCGGTAACGTAATCTCTTGTTTTTCCGTTGTTCGTTCTTTTTCAATTCCGACTACGGCCCAAGCGCCCTTCCCTCATTTTATTCGCTACAGGCGAGGGGGTGTTTTTAGGGACATGCACTTTTATCATACCTTTGGTCAATGCACCTTTCCTTGGCTCAAGCTTTATGTTCCTGGCGAATCTCTTCTGCCATTTCGTCGGTACCGCGCCTACGGCGCCACACTCGTCTTGCGTTGTGGAAAAGGGTGCAGGCCGAGCAGTTGGCGGCGGTGTTGGTCCTGGAAGTGGGTCATTGGGTGTTTGGGGAATTGCTTTTCCGCGCTTTGCTCGGTTGGTTGCTTGCTTGTTTGGTGCTGCTTGCTTGCTTTGCGCTGCGCTGCGTTGGCACCCTTTCCTGTTTGGGTGTTAGTTGTGGTTAAACAGGATTACCCTTTTACTTGCGTGTGTGTGGTTTCGTGCCAGCCAAAGGCAACCGCTTTGCCCTTGGGACTCGGGGAATTCTTCTATCTCATTCTTGTTGGAGAGTTTGGGCCTGTTTAATCCCCCCCGAAACTTTGTTTCAAACCGTTTCGTGCCCACCAACCAAGGGGCGCCAAACTCCCGGCCTGGTTTGGCGAAGCAGCGGCCCCCATGGGCCAAGCTGAGGCGGATGCCGTTGGACATCGTGCCGGCCTGAACCGGATCCCCCCCAAGAATGGGAAGGGCGCCCCGAAATGGATTGTTTTCTGGGTTTGCACCACAAACAGAACAACCCCCCCCGAAACAAGAAAAAGAAGAGACAACGACGCGACCTTGGGAAGCCTGTGTTGTGATGGAACCCGTTTTCTGTTGTAACGCAAGGGAAACCCTGTTTGGTGTTGTCTTGAGAGAACCCGCAAGGGAAACCACCTGTTTTGGGGTTTATTCCCCTTAGTAAAAACTGGACTGAGGTGTATCCCTTCTCTTCCTGCCGTTTGGGTACTTCATGGAGGATGGGCACCGCTTGTCTCCTGATTGGATGGCAGGTGTTTTTTTAGGGCCGGTCTAGATTCCTGGGTACCAGTTTTAGGTTGGTTTGAAGGGCAAAACACAATTTTGCAGGGTCTCCTTTTTTGACACATATATTCTTTCCTGCGTGTTCAGCCAAACGTCACTTTTAGGGTTCTTTTATTTTGGAAGAACACAAAGTGTTTCAGAACGGGTCGCCCGCACTGCTGACTGGACAGGATTGTCAAATGTCCCCACAAGCCGCCAGCCACCCAGCGCGATGCGATGGCCAACCCGGGACGCTTTCAGGGGTTTGAGGGACACCATCTTTCAGTTTCCCACGACTTGGTGCTTTGAATTGGAATTGAATCTGTACATGGGAAACCACCCCTTAACCATGAAACCGCCAATCCAAACCACCAACTGGGGAGAAGCTGACATGTTGGGGTTCCAGTTGGTGATTTTGCGCATTGCAGCCGTCGATTGAGCTGAGTTTGGAGATGCTGAAGCGCTGGAACGAACAGCAGCGCGAGGGCGAGTACGTGCGCGCTGGCCTCTGTTGCCGGAGTCCGGTCCATTCAAGTGAACATTTTGAGGGGGTTGTCAAAATTAGTCTTGGGATCGCAACCATTTAGAGGGCAATTTTGAGGATGCCACTTTCAATGGACCAAGACACATATTGATGTAGCTGGCCTGGAGGCCAAAGTCGATTGCAGCCCGTGCTCGCCCCACAAGGCGCCATCGGTGCTTTCCTGCCGGCCATTTGTTTCCTTTGCATTTTCACCATCCGTGTTTTGACCGGCAGGGACATTGGAAGTTGCTCAAAGAGATGCTTGGAGCGGGCCTCAATACGTCCATGCCTGACCCCAGACCAAAAAAATGAGCTGTGGGAAAAGAAACAACGTGCAAACCAAAATGTCGGCGGCCGGCGCCCCCGAAAAAAAAAAAGCCAGTCTCCAAATCATATGAACCTCACCTGGCAGAGGGTTCATAAATGGATTGTCCATCAGGGCGCAGACGTGCTGCTGTTGGTTTTTCCACACCTACATTGCCCATGCAACCCGAGTGGGGCGTCCTGGAAGGACCAGTTACTCTAAAAGGGAGCCTGTGATGGGATCCAGGTGGTGAGGACCGGATCCGGAGCCGAGGTGCATTGCCTTGCCAGTGATTTCCAGTGACCGGGACAGCGGGGACAGCCGCAACCAGAGGCTGGAAAGAGTTTCACACGACCAGATCGTTTTATCTACATGGCCGTGAATTCTAAATTGGGAACCTATTGGACATCATTTACATGATGAATTATGCCATTTGGGGGGACCTTCGGAGACTACGTACCACATACTATATGCGGGAAATCACGTGGACCAACCTTGTTTGAGGCTGGAATCGTGAAAACTCACAAACATATTTGTAACCCCAGCCACAGAGGCTCACTTTGAGGATCGCCCATTTCCAGACTCGGCCACAGGGGACCGACAGAAGGTTGGGTTAAAACTTTCAGCAGCCTGGTCGATTTGGAAGGGACATGGGGGACTCACTACATTCAGACACACACAAATCTGTGGGACGAATCCATTAGGCCAACAGCATGTGATGTCTTTTTGTTTGAGGGTACCCTTTGTGGGGTCTAATGTTGAGCCCACGGTTTCCCCCCCTCCCGCCTTGGGTTCAAATGCGTATGTTGAGCACATCCGACTTTGACGGATGCACGCAGGTTCCTCAGCATGGGCTTGGACGCAGAAGACTTGCGCCTGCTACAAGGCGGGGCCAGGCCTGCGACATAAGTAATGGATATGACTCTGACGATTCCCCACCAATCGGCAAGATAAATGTTTGTTCAGGGGCTGAGAACCAATACAGTTTGCAGAAGTTTGGAGATGATGTTGCTGATCAGTGATTGATTCATATTTTGGAAGTACATGTTGCAGCATCTCAGTGGGAGTCGTAGCAGACCGGAAGTCTCTAGATTCCGAACATGTCGGACTTCAAGTTGGAAGTGAATGAGAACAACAAGGCCACAGAGTTGCCGCTGCTTCGGGTGTGTGGGACTGTTCAGCAGAACCCACACATGCGAGCATTCTGGGCCTCAACGATTTCTTTCTTTCTGGCGTTCCTGGGCTGGTTTGCCTTGGCACCTTTGGGGCTGGAGGTAGCCACCAGCATGGGCCAATGTGAGAATCAACTGTACCCCACCGCCGAGTACCCCAAGAGGGTGGCCTACCTGAAGTACAAGAACCTCAAGAGTGGCCTTGAGTACTGCCAATATGGCAAGGTTCTGGACTCCAATGATGCGCCCACCGATTGCCAGCCAGTGCCTGCTGACAAACTGCTGACTGGAACTGATGAGGAAAAGCTTCAGTACCGACCTGCAGTGCTGGCCAAGTGCGTTTGCACCACAGGGACTTCATGCAACGGCATGATTGCCAATGCAGGAGTGGCAGCTGTGGCCTCAACAATATTTGTCCGCATTGCCCTTGGCACCTTGCTGGAACGCTTTGGCCCAGTGAATGTGCAAAGCGGCCTGCTATCCTTTGGAGCGTTTTGGGTTGCAATGGCTGCTGCCATTTCAGCACCATGGAACTACACCTTGATCCGATTTTTCATTGGGTGTGCCGGTGCCACATTTGTGACCAATCAGTTCTGGTGCTCGCTCATGTTCGCTCCCAATGTTATTGGCACTGCCAATGCCACCGCAGCAGGCTGGGGCAACTTGGGTGGTGGTGTGACCCAAATCTTCATGATTTCGGTCCTCTTCAACCCAATGGTGGACTCTGGTATGTTGCCAGACACCGCTTGGCGAGTGGCCATGGTTGTTCCGGCGGTCCTTTTTGTTGTTTGCGCCGTCAGCATGAAGCTCTTGTGCTGGGACACCCCCACAGCCAAGCGTTTCGATGTAGCGGTGACTGGCAAGACACAGAAGCCGTCTTTGTGGGACTACGTTGAGGTCCTGAAGGATGTCCGAGTCCTGGTGATGATCATGCAGTATTCGGCATGCTTCGGAACTGAGCTCGCGATGAACAATCAATTGGCGACCCACTTCAGGACCTACTTCCAAATGGCTGCGGCAGATGCTTCAGCCTTGGCGGGAGCATTTGGCTTGATGAACCTCTTTGCCCGGTCCCTGGGGGGAATCACCAGTGACCTCCTGTTCAAGTATATCGGCTTCCGTGGCCGCATTTGGGCGCAGTTCTTGTCCCTCTTCTTCGAGGCCATCTTCCTGTTCTGCTTCGGCTTGGTGGACAACTCGCAGCCATGGTATGTTGCGTTGGCAGTGCTCGTTTTCTTCTCCCTTTTTGTCCAGATGGCGGAAGGGACCAGCTACGGCATTGTGCCCTTCATGAACAAGCAGCAACTGGCGATTGTGTCCGCTTTGGTGGGAGCAGGCGGAAACTTGGGAGCCGTCATTGCCGGCTTCTGCTTCTACCGGCCCATTGATGATCCACTGCTTCCATTCCAGGTCCATGCCGGCTACGTCATGTTCTGGGCCTTGTTGTCCCCTTGCTACTACTGGAGCGAGCACGGTGGCATGTTCCATGGACCAGCTGTGGTGCAGAAATCTGAGCCCAAGATGGAAGCTGCAGAGATCACTGTGTAGACATTAGGAGCGCTCGGCATGGATTCCCTGAGGTTTCTTTGCCAACATTCCGACAAATGCAGTTTGAGACGCTTATGTGGTGCTTTTGTCCGAAGGACACCAAAGTTCAATAGCAACTAAAGACACGAAGTCTTTCTTAGTTGTTTGAAGGCCCTTGTATGGAGTGCAGGGCCTCGCAACATCAGTTGGCAGACGAATTTTGCGGTGGAAACCACCACAAGCAGCTGTCATCGAGAGAACAACAAATGTCTAGCAGCTAGCAGCGTCTCAATTCGTTTTCAACAATCGGTTTAGCTTCCCTTCTCCCCGTTTTTGCAACTCATGGACTGCTCCCCACACAACATTCGCGAGGCTACGCTCGCAGTCTTCAAAGCCCAGAGCCCCAGTTGGAGATGTGGGTAGTGTGCATGTCCAGGTTCAGACAAGCTGGCTCCCTGAGTTGATACATTTTATTCATGTGACTTGATCGTTTGGCGGCAGCCAGCCAAGTGGAACAACTCAGAGTAACCCACAGCACCTTGCGACGTTGCAATATCATTGGCTTTGCTGGAGCAACTTTGGGTTTGAAGGGGCCCTGCTGAATTCACCTGCGGGACTATCACCCAAAAACAAGCAAGAATTGTGGCATAACAAGGCCCCGCGTAAGCAAGACTCTGCACGGCGTAAGCCGGCGCAAGCACTTTTTGGGGAAACATGCTGCGTAAGCACCTGCGTAAGGTCTTCTTCGTGATTGCTTGGTAAGCATTGTAAGCATGCTCGGAAAAGTTGTTTCGCCCATGTGCTTATGTGTTTTTTTGGTGGCTTGTGCTGTTGCAACCCAGTCGAGCTTGGCAACTTGCTCTGAGACTTTGGCTGCAGGAAGACGTCTAAGACCGTATGTGCGCACCACTGGAAAACAACACCAGCAGAGCTTTGGTTGAGAGCTCTTGGGACTCATGCTAGGTGCTGTTGCAACCTCTACTAGAACGAACAAAAATGGCTTCTGTAACCGCTGATTTGGGAAACTAAAGGGGCTCGGGCGCGTAAGCTCGCGTAAGCGGCGTAAAATTCGCGTCAGCTCGCCTAGCTCGGCTGCCCGCCAGCCCTCGCGATGGATGCCGCTACTGCAAAACATGTTTCTTGACCTGCAGTAAGAACAACAACGCCAAGCCGCTGAAAGTCGCGAGGGTAGCTCTTCGTCATCTTCTTCCTCAGAGTCATCCACATCATTTTGCTGGCGGCTGCATGAGAAAAGGAGCCCGCGTAAGGAATTCTTGAGGGGAAGCGCTCACAACGCCGACGCCTAAGCGATGCGTAAGTTTAACATGCTCGCTGACTGCCGCGTAAGCTAAAACCGCCAAAGCAGGGGTTGCGTAAGGAAAGCGCAAGCTCGCGCGTAAGCAACTTGACACGACACAGGGGTTCATGGGAGGTTTATAGAGTTGCTCATTGGCAGAGGCCGCAGCAACTTGCAGCCGGATTCCACGAAGAAAAAAGAAAGCAACCCTTCTGTTTTTTAGGCAAGGCAAATCTGAACAGCGCAATCGATGACTCACTTGAATGTTGGGTGACCAATGCAGAATGTGTGATTGCGCCAACGAAGCGGGACTTTTGGATGCATCAGCAGAGAAAAGGGAGACAGGGAGAACGCAAGAGGCTCTCTATCTTATTGTAAGCTGGCGTGCGCAGGAGCTTCTGTCAGGAAGGTGGCAACATAAAGTAACATAATGTGAGGGCACTAGTTTCAAGGTAGTTTCGCACACAGACAAGATGAAGTGAATGAGTGCTCGCAGGCGTGGGCGTGTTGTGGTGGAAATAGAAGCTGTGAAAAAGCGCTGGGCCTATTCTGCTGGCCTGCGCGTGCCTGCTTCGAAAAAGTGACGAGCAGGGCGCTTGCTGAGATGATTCATCAGCGCGCGTGTAGTAAGCCTCTTAAAGCGCCCTTTCCGCACGCCTTGCAGGCTGTAGCCACTGGTTTACACCGCGCGCCACCGCTGAGCCGTTCAGCTGGACAGGAACACCGCGAAAGCAATGACGCGCTGTGCTTTCCAAAAAGCCATCCTCGATCCACGCTAACTTCCAAGCGCCAAGACGGCAGCCCTGGTCTGCGGGATGGAAGTCGTAGGGCAGGAGAGAGTGCAAGACGCCGTAGTCGTGGCGCCCGATCCCTGCCCGCTTTGAATTTGGCCAGAACAGTCCCGTGGCCCTGCGTGGAGTGCCGCAAAGCAACACTAACGAGCACAGCGACGCATGCAAGCGCGCGCAGTGGGCAGCACTGGCGGCGCAAAAGTGCAAGCGCCGGCGGGTTTGGTGAACACGCCTGATCAATCGCCAACGCGCGTGGCGTAACTACTGCAACCGCAACCGTCACCAGCCACAGCGGATGCGCCGAAGCAGCAGCAGCAGCAGTAGCAGCAGCAGCAGCAGCAGCAGCTGCAGCGCCTGCCACGGCCGCAGTCAAGCTGCCCAAGCAAATCTGGATTGGGCCCATACTTATGACGGGCTGAGGCAAAAGAGCTCCTGCATACAATTGAGCGCGCCAAAGAACGAACTTGGTTCAGGTAGATTAGGCAGACAGAGCAATGTAGGTAGATAGACAGACAGGTAGACACACAGATAGATTGATAGATAAATAGATAGATCGCGATAGACCGATCGATAGAAAGATAGTTAGATAGGCAAGGAGCAAGACAAGATAGATGGAGAACTCGATATCTAGATACATAGACAAGTAGCTAGCGATAGATAGACCTTGAGATAGGCAATAGAAGGATAGGTTAACGTTTTTGAATGTAGAGAGATGGCGAGATATGACAGATTGACAGATGGCTGAGAAACGGAAAGAGAAGAGAATGAGACAGAGAGAGAAAGAAGAAGAATAACAATGAAAAAGAGACAGAGAAAGAGAGAGAGAGAGAGAGGGAGAATAAAAGAGAAAGGGAAAGGGAAACACAGCTACAGGCTCTTATATTTTTTGAAACGTCCGCCTGCTTCGCAGGCCTTACTGGTAGGCAGCATCCTTGCCACATAGGGGAGAGTCAAAATGTGGTCCCTTTTGGTAGGCAGGGACGCCAAGGGGAAACCACCGGTGATTGGGGACCCACGAATAAATGTGGAACGCGGCGTGCGGCGTAAGGGGGGGGCTATGCCTCCTTTGCGGATCACCTCAGAGATGAGCCGGGATGCTAAGACGTCAAAAGTCTTTGCATGTTCCCGATCACGTGGTGCCCTCTTCCCTCTTCTCATGTAAAAGTCAACTACCAAGACAGGGTTCCTTGTTCGTGTTGTTGGGGATCGCCACCTGGGCGTTTGTTTCTGGGTGGGCTTGGGTTTCCTTTTGGGGTGATGAACCTGGAGGAGCCTTTTGCCCTGAAACCAGGTCCGAAATGGTTCTGGGCAGGCCCCAGCTGTTGGGTGCGAAGTCATGCCGCGTTTCAGGCCGTGCGTGCTGCGGGGCCAGCGCATCCTGTTGGGTGAGACCCATGCGACTTGGCAGTGATGCCGGCATACTTTTGTTTGCGAAGGGCTGTGGTTTGGGAATGTGAGGTTCTGTCAAAATGTCCAGTCCATTGTCCATGCGAGGGCATGGGGACATATTCCCTCGCCCCCCAGCAGACTCATTACTTTTCCCATGTCCTCTACACGCCTGTTGAGAATGCCAAGGCCGGCTTCCCTAGCCCACCGACGTGGACGCCATGAGAGATGAAAATAGAGCGCATCACCTTCAGAGACACGAAATGGGTTCCCACAACCAGGTCCAGTCCTGCGTCAGATAACAAGGTTTGCAATCTCCTCGCTCATTTGCTAGAACCCGTTTAGGGTCACCCAAGCCAAGCACTGGAATGTTGGGCTGAGATCGTGGGAATCATGGGTTGATTGTCCCCTGGCGGATGGCTCAACAAAAGAAGATTCTAATCTCGGTTTGTGGGCTTTGTCCAGCGCATGCACGAGCAGGCCGGGCAGGCTAGAGCTGACGCCGTTCCACGTCACTGCTGCACCCTGAATTGGGGGTGCCAAAAACAGGCAACAAACACGAGGGGGGCCGTTGATGATGTTAGTCGCATGCATTAGGCCGGCCAGGGTCGCCGGTATTGTCCAAGCAACGTAAGCACGAGACTATCCAAAAAAAGGTCCCTTTGTTTTGGGACTGACTGCCCTGAAGGCTTTGGCTTGGGTTAAGGCTGGCACTTGTTTGCGCAGGGGCGTGCGCCGGATCGCAGTTTGGAGAGGTTGCTGCTAGACACGGCTGTTCAAATTCAATGTTGCGAAGGGCAGCGTTCAAGTTGTGCGAATTGTTTCTGGTGCGCGGTGTGCGGGCTTTGCTGTCACGACCGCCTTGTGGTTGGAAAGGAAGTTCACGATTGAAGCACTCGGAGTGTCCGCTGCAAATCAATCATGCCTACTGTGAGTGTTATAGTGATCGGTGTGGGCGAAGCGCAGTGCGTATGCGGCTAGTCAGACAAGCGGAAGGATGTGGTGGTCATTTCACGCAAGGTTCCAGGAACAAAAGTGACATAAGCCTGTTAGCCAGGTTCCTGCTAGCCAATCACAGCCCCTGCTATTGGAGCCGGAGTTTGCCCAAAATTGGACCTCCAGAACAGACACCTGCTTGGTGCGCTGCAATTGCAAATATAGTCATTGCATCTAGCTTGAGGGTTGGGGCCAGAGTGTCATGTTTGGTCGCAGATGATCGCTCCGGCGGCCTGAATGACAACGAGGTGACCGATCGGTGGGGACTGTGGCCGTGTGGAGGACTTATTTGGCACGCACAGCGCGCGCACAGAGCAATGATGCCCCAAGTTTTGGCAGTTCCAGTTCCATTTGGCCGCATTCGGTTCCGCGCAATTGAATCCAACGGCATTTTGTTCCTGACAGCTGTTCAATGTTTGGCTGTTGAATGAGAGGGTTGATGCAACTGAATCTGCCAGAGCGTGCAGCGGGCGCAGATGCCCTCCCTGGTCCTCCCTTTTCAGCCTGGTTGACTGTAACTCACATGACTCAGAGTTGAAAGAAGTCTGTGCCAACCGGTTAGGAAAGGGAAGGAAGGCAAGGACGTTTGACAATGCTGCGCAGCGATCGTGGAGAAGCGCATTTCATGGCTGCATTTCCTTTGGGAGGACCAGGTCGACTTTGGCGGGGCAATGATTTCGATTTACCATTGGCGGCATACCAGATCTTTTGGGCTGGCTTGGGGCGGGCTGCTGGGTGCTGTGACTTTCCAACTGGGTCGCTTCAATGAAGATTTTGAGAGGTTCTCAAACTTGCGCTTAGGGAAACCAGCCCCAGAGTGCCACCATTTAGAGTCATTAGAGAGTAAAATCGAGGATGTCGGTTTTATGGACCCACAAGACACATGTTGTAATGGCGATGTCTTGCGAACTTGGGGCAGCTTTGAACGGTTCTCAGTTCATGAAGCTGGTCTCTTCCGAGCTGGGAGGCCAAAGTTCCTAGCCATTGGCAGTCCTCATGTGTGGTTCTGTGAAGAGGGTTGATCGCTGTAGGGCCGAAGTGAGTGCAGATGCTTCAAGCGGGCACGATGGGTCTTGGGGCAGTTTGGAGCCAACATAAGTTTGGCAGTTATTCAGTTCAGGCATTTTTGCAAGGTGCCAGGAACAAAAGAAGAGATCGCCTATGGAGGTCAGGCAGAATCTAGCAAGAATGCATGCTTGGAGGGCGAAAACACTCTGTAACCTTCAAGCCCTGCTGTTGAAGTTGGGTGTGCTGCGCATGTATATGAATTAACTTGCTGGTGCTCAGTAGGGAACGTGGGAATCAATTTAGGGGTTCCCTTAAAGGAAGCCACAAGGGATGGTTTATATTTTATAGGGGTCATTCCCTCATTCCCTGCTGAACACCAGCAAGATAAGCACAGTGGCATCCAGCTTGAGTTTCCAGAGTCATCTCGTGTTTGGTCGCAGATTCCCGCTCTGGCCGGATCGACGAGCAGCGCGGTCACCTGGCGCACTGGCGGCATGAAGAGGCCCCAAGTTTCGGCACTTCCATTTTGGCAGCGTCCTTGGCGGAGGGTTCATTTTACTGAATTCAGCAGAGCGCGCCGCAAGTGGAAATAACATGCACCCCATGATCTTGGGGGATCCTCGATTGTGGAAACAGGTAACTGGCCCTTGACTTGGAAGCAATCACCCTCGTTGCGGATGTCTTGCGAACAGTGTCAGAGGGGACCGACATGAGGCACGGCCAAAATGTTCAAGCAGCTTTGGAAGCGACATGGGGGACTCACTACATTCAGCCACACAAACTTGTGGGACGAGCCCCTTAGCAGCCAGCAGCATGCGGGTGTGTCATTTTGCCCACTGCTTTGACAGGTTCCTCCGCATGGTCTGCGCCTGCCTGCTGCAAGGCGGGGCCAATGACAAGAGAGGTGTGCGAGCTCCTGTATATGTTGAATATGGCGATGCCCCACTGAGAATATGTTTTTCGGTTTTCTTTCTGGGGTGGTCAAGCGACACAGTTTTCAGAAGGTTGGAGATGATGTCGCTGAGCGGAGATTGAATCACTTTTCGGAAGTATATGGTGCAGCATCTCGGTAGGAGTCGTAGTAGACCGGAAGGCTCTAGATTCCAAACATGTCGGACTTCAAGTTGGCAGTGAATGAGAACAACAAGGCCACAGAGTTGCCGCTGCTTCGGGTGTGTGGGACTGTTCAGCAGAACCCACACATGCGAGCATTCTGGGCCTCAACGATTTCTTTCTTTCTGGCGTTCCTGGGCTGGTTTGCCTTGGCACCTTTGGGGCTGGAGGTAGCCACCAGCATGGGCCAATGTGAGAATCAACTGTACCCCACCGCCGAGTACCCCAAGAGGGTGGCCTACTTGAAGTACAAGAACCTCAAGAGTGGCCTTGAGTACTGCCAATACGGCAAGGTTCTGGACTCCAATGATGCGCCCACCGATTGCCAGCCAGTGCCTGCTGACAAACTGCTGACTGGAACTGATGAGGAAAAGCTTCAGTACCGACCTGCAGTGCTGGCCAAGTGTGTTTGCACCACAGGGACTTCTTGCAACGGCATGATTGCCAATGCAGGAGTGGCAGCTGTGGCCTCAACAATCTTTGTGCGCATTGCCCTTGGCACCTTGCTGGAACGCTTTGGCCCAGTGAATGTTCAAAGCGGCCTGCTATCCTTTGGAGCTTTTTGGGTTGCAATGGCTGCTGCCATTTCAGCACCATGGAACTACACCTTGATCCGATTTTTCATTGGGTGTGCCGGTGCCACATTCGTGACCAATCAGTTCTGGTGCTCGCTCATGTTCGCTCCCAATGTTATTGGCACTGCCAATGCCACCGCAGCAGGCTGGGGCAACTTGGGTGGTGGTGTGACCCAAATCTTTATGATTTCGGTCCTCTTCAACCCAATGGTGGACTCTGGTATGTTGCCAGACACCGCTTGGCGAGTGGCCATGGTTGTTCCGGCGGTCCTTTTTGTTGTTTGCGCCGTCAGCATGAAGCTCTTGTGCTGGGACACCCCCACAGCCAAGCGTTTCGATGTAGCGGTGACTGGCAAGACACAGAAGCCGTCTTTGTGGGACTACGTTGAGGTCCTGAAGGATGTCCGAGTCCTGGTGATGATCATGCAGTATTCGGCATGCTTCGGAACTGAGCTCGCGATGAACAATCAATTGGCGACCCACTTCAGGACCTACTTCCAAATGGCTGCGGCAGATGCTTCGGCCTTGGCGGGAGCATTTGGCTTGATGAACCTCTTTGCCCGGTCCCTGGGGGGAATCACCAGTGACCTCCTGTTCAAGTATATCGGCTTCCGTGGCCGCATTTGGGCGCAGTTCTTGTCCCTCTTCTTCGAGGCCATCTTCCTGTTCTGCTTCGGCTTGGTGGACAACTCGCAGCCATGGTATGTTGCGTTGGCAGTGCTCGTCTTCTTCTCCCTTTTTGTCCAGATGGCGGAAGGGACCAGCTACGGCATTGTCCCTTTCATGAACAAGCAGCAACTCGCGATTGTGTCCGCTTTGGTGGGTGCAGGCGGAAACTTGGGAGCCGTCATTGCCGGCTTCTGCTTCTACCGGCCCATTGATGATCCACTGCTTCCATTCCAGGTCCATGCCGGATACGTCATGTTCTGGGCCTTGTTGTCCCCTTGCTACTACTGGAGCGAGCACGGTGGCATGTTCCATGGACCAGCTGTGGTGCAGAAATCTGAGCCCAAGATGGAAGCTGCAGAGATCACTGTGTAGACATTAGGAGCGCTCGGCATGGATTCATTGAGGTTTCTTTGCCAACTTTCCGACATGAGCTGTTTGAGACGCTTATGTGGTGCTTTGGTCCCAAGGACACCGAAGTTCAATAGCAACTAAAGACACGAAGTCTTTCTTAGTTGTTTGAAGGCCCTTGTATGGAGTGCAGGGCCTCGCAACATCAGTTGGCAGACGAACTTTGTGGTGGAAACCACCACAAGCAGCTGTCATCGAGAAAAGGCACGTCTAGATCGTCTCGATCTTTTTTCAAAGTTCGGCGGACCCCCTCTTCATGTTCCCGACGCAGCATTCGCCAGGCTACGCTCGGCGTCTGCAGCCCAGAGCCGCAGTTTCAGATGGTGCGCAAGTCCAGGTTCAAATATGGTGGCTCCCTGAGTTGATACGTTGTATTTATTTGACTTGATCGTTTGGCGGCAGCCAGCCAAGTGAAATAGCTCGGAATAGCCCAAAGCACCTTTCCATTTTGCAATTTCTTGCGTTGGCTTTGCTGGCACAATTTTGGGTTTGAAGGGACAGCACATCGATGCCTTCCTTAAATCTTGGATGGTTAATGCAGGAAGCTTGATTGCGTTGCCTCATGAAGTGGGACCTTTTGGATGCAACAGCAGAAAGAGAGAGAGAGAGAGAGAGAGAGAGAGAGACAGAGAGAGAGGCGAGAGAGAAAGAGAGAGAGAGAAAGAGGGAAGGGAGGGAGGGAGGGAGGGAGGGAGGAAGACAGATATTGTAAGCTGACATACGCAGTACAGCTAATGTGAGAGGACTTCTGGAAAACAGATGCACAAACAACAGACAGCAAACAAGCGCTTGCCGCCGAATGAAACCAATTCACAAGTGGAACCACGAAAAAGAAGAAGAACAAAACAGAAAAACAAAAACACGATGCAGTTGTTGTTTCCCATTATCATCCCGATGGTGATAGAATTCTTTCGACATGGTAATTTCCGGCAGCGCGGGTGCGACTGAAACCGTCGATTGGCCAAGGTGCACTGCCTTGCAATGATTTCCAGTGACTGGGGCGAGGAGGCCTGAAGCCAGAGGCGGAAGCGAAGCCAGAGAGAGTCCAGGGCGAAGATCATCTGGAGAAAACAAAACATTCGAATTGGGGGACGGGACAATCACTTGTGCTGATTTGTGGCCCTAAAATGACCACATATACGTACATCTAATGCTTCAACATGTCCAACAGTCGATGGTAGATGGGTGCGCTACATTTAACCACAAAAGGACGGACCCGAGCTTTCTTCCTTAATGTCCATTAGGCGAACTGCATTGCTTTGAGGGCCCCTAAACCCGAAGCTTTCCCAAGAACTGAGCTCCTGTGCGAAGAAACACCCGCAGGTTCCTCCGCGGCTTGGAAGAAGACAGGCGGCCACAAGGCGGGGCCAATGCCAAGGAAGGCTTGCGAGCGAGCGCCTCTTGGTGTGACAGAACATATTTTGTATAGGGCGAGCCCCCTACCAATAGACAGCATTTAACTTTTGGTAGGGGTTCGGTGGCCAAAGGCTGCGCAAGGTTGGAGATGATGTCGCTGGCCAATGATTGAATCATATTTTGGATGTACATTTCGCAGCGTCTCGGTGGGAGTCGTAGTAGACCGGAAGTCTCTAGATTCCAAACATGTCGGACTTCAAGTTGGCAGTGAATGAGAACAACAAGGCCACAGAATTGCCACTGCTTCGGGTGTGTGGGACTGTTCAGCAGAATCCACACATGCGAGCATTCTGGGCCTCAACGATTTCTTTCTTTCTGGCGTTCCTGGGCTGGTTTGCCTTGGCACCTTTGGGGCTGGAGGTAGCCACCAGCATGGGCCAATGTGAGAATCAACTGTACCCCACCGCCGAGTACCCCAAGAGGGTGGCCTACCTGAAGTACAAGAACCTCAAGAGTGGCCTTGAGTACTGCCAATATGGCAAGGTTCTGGACTCTAATTCTGTGCCCACCGATTGCCAGCCAGTGCCTGCTGACAAACTGCTGACTGGAACTGATGAGGAAAAGCTTCAGTACCGACCTGCAGTGCTGGCCAAGTGCGTTTGCACTACAGGGACTTCATGCAATGGCATGATTGCCAATGCAGGAGTGGCAGCTGTGGCCTCAACAATCTTTGTGCGCATTGCCCTTGGCACCTTGCTGGAACGCTTTGGCCCAGTGAATGTTCAAAGCGGCCTGCTATCCTTTGGAGCTTTTTGGGTTGCAATGGCTGCTGCCATTTCAGCACCATGGAACTACACCTTGATCCGATTTTTCATTGGGTGTGCCGGTGCCACATTCGTGACCAATCAGTTCTGGTGCTCGCTCATGTTCGCTCCCAATGTTATTGGCACTGCCAATGCCACCGCAGCAGGCTGGGGCAACTTGGGTGGTGGTGTGACCCAAATCTTTATGATTTCGGTCCTCTTCAACCCAATGGTGGACTCTGGTATGTTGCCAGACACCGCTTGGCGAGTGGCCATGGTTGTTCCGGCGGTCCTTTTTGTTGTTTGCGCCGTCAGCATGAAGCTCTTGTGCTGGGACACCCCCACAGCCAAGCGTTTCGATGTAGCGGTGACTGGCAAGACACAGAAGCCGTCTTTGTGGGACTACGTTGAGGTCCTGAAGGATGTCCGAGTCCTGGTGATGATCATGCAGTATTCGGCATGCTTCGGAACTGAGCTCGCGATGAACAATCAATTGGCGACCCACTTCAGGACCTACTTCCAAATGGCTGCGGCAGATGCTTCGGCCTTGGCGGGAGCATTTGGCTTGATGAACCTCTTTGCCCGGTCCCTGGGGGGAATCACCAGTGACCTCCTGTTCAAGTATATCGGCTTCCGTGGCCGCATTTGGGCGCAGTTCTTGTCCCTCTTCTTCGAGGCCATCTTCCTGTTCTGCTTCGGCTTGGTGGACAACTCGCAGCCATGGTATGTTGCGTTGGCAGTGCTCGTCTTCTTCTCCCTTTTTGTCCAGATGGCGGAAGGGACCAGCTACGGCATTGTCCCTTTCATGAACAAGCAGCAACTCGCGATTGTGTCCGCTTTGGTGGGTGCAGGCGGAAACTTGGGAGCCGTCATTGCCGGCTTCTGCTTCTACCGGCCCATTGATGAGCCACTGCTTCCATTCCAGGTCCATGCCGGATACGTCATGTTCTGGGCTTTGTTGTCTCCTTGCTACTACTGGAGCGAGCATGGTGGCATGTTCCATGGACCAGCCGTGGTGCAGAAATCTGAGCCCAAGGTGGAAGCTGCAGAGACCGCTGTGTAGACTTTAGGAGCGCTCGGCATGGATTCCCTCGAGTTTCTTTGCCAACTTTCCGACATGAGCTGTTTGAGACGCTTATGTGGTGCTTTGGTCCCAAGGACACCGAAGTTCAATAGCAACTAAAGACACGAAGTCTTTCTTAGTTGTTTGAAGGCCCTTGTATGGAGTGCAGGGCCTCGCAACATCAGTTGGCAGACGAACTTTGTGGTGGAAACCACCACAAGCAGCTGTCATCGAGAAAAAGCACGTCTAGATCGTCTCAATCTTTTTTCAAAGTTCGGCAGCCCTCTTCATGTTCCCGACGCAGCATTCGCCAGGCTACGCTCGGCGTTTGCAAAGCCCAGAGCCGCAGTTTCAGATGGTGCGCAAGTCCAGGTTCAAATATGGCGGCTCCCTGAGTTGATACGTTGTATTCATTTGACTTGATCGTTTGGCGGCAGACAGCCAAGTGAAATAGCTCGGAATAGCCCAAAGCACCTTTCCATTTTGCAATTTCTTGCATTGGCTTTGCTGGCACAATTTCGGGTTTGAAGGGACAGCACATCGATGCCTTCCTTAAATCTTGGATGGTTAATGCAGGAAGCTTGATTGCGTTGCCTCATGAAGTGGGACCTTTTGGATGCGACAGCGGAAGAGAGAGAGAGAGAGAGAGAGAGAGAGAGAGACAGAGAGAGGAGAGAGGAGAGAGAGAGAGAGAGAGAGAGACAGAGAGAGAGAGAGAGAGAGAGGGAGGGAGGGAGGGAGGGAGGGAGGGAGGAGGGAGGGAGGGAGGGAGGGAGGGAGGAGGCCATATTGTAAGCTGACATACGCAGTAGGGCTAATGTGAGAGGACTTCTGGAAAGCAGATGCACCAACAGCGGAAAGCAAACAAGCGCTTGCCACCGAATGCGCTGGCCGTGAAACCAATTCACAGGCGGAATGACAACAGAAAGCAGAACATGATGATAGGACTGCTCAATTGTTGTTTCCCGTCATCATCCAAGTTGTTTGCAATAGTTGCTTGCCGTATATGATATGTTTCCTCTCCCAAGAACTTTCGCAATTATATAGTTTCATGGCAGTGTGGGTGGGACTGGAAACGGTCGATTGGCCAAGGTGCACTGCCTTGCAGGGATTTCTGGTGACTGGGGCGGGGAGGCCTGAAACCAGAGGCGGAAGCGAAGCCAGAGAGAGTCCAGGGCGAAGATCATTTGGAGAAAACAGGACATTCGAATTGGGGGACGGGACAATCACTTGTGCTGATTTGTGGCCCTAAAATGACCACATACATCTAATGCTTCAACATGTCCAACAGTCGATGGTAGATTGGGGCACTACATTTAACCACAAAGGGACGGACCCGAGCTTTCTTCCTTAATGTCCATTAGGCGAACTGCATTGCTTTGAGGGCCCCTAAACCCGAAGCTTTCCCAAGAACTGAGCTCCTGCTTGCCAAATGCGAAGAAACACCCGCAGGTTCCTCCGCGGCTTGGAAGAAGACATGCGGCCACAAGGCGGGGCCAACGCCGAGGAAGGCTTGCGAGCGAGCGCCTCTTGGTGTGACAGAACATATTTTGTATAGGGCGAGCCCCCCCTACCAATAGACGGCATTTAACTTTTGGTAGGGATTCGGTGGCCAAAGGCTGCGCAAGGTTGGAGATGATGTCGCTGGCCAATGATTGAATCATATTTTGGATGTACATTTCGCAGCGTCTCGGTGGGAGTCGTAGTAGACCGGAAGTCTCTAGATTCCAAACATGTCGGACTTCAAGTTGGCAGTGAATGAGAACAACAAGGCCACAGAATTGCCACTGCTCCGGGTGTGTGGGACTGTTCAGCAGAACCCACACATGCGAGCATTCTGGGCCTCAACGATTTCTTTCTTTCTGGCGTTCCTGGGCTGGTTTGCCTTGGCACCTTTGGGGCTGGAGGTAGCCACCAGCATGGGCCAATGTGAGAATCAACTGTACCCCACCGCCGAGTACCCCAAGAGGGTGGCCTACCTGAAGTACAAGAACCTCAAGAGTGGCCTTGAGTATTGCCAATATGGCAAGGTTCTGGACTCCAATGATGCGCCCACCGATTGCCAGCCAGTGCCTGCTGACAAACTGCTGACTGGAACTGATGAGGAAAAGCTTCAGTACCGACCTGCAGTGCTGGCCAAGTGCGTTTGCACCACAGGGACTTCATGCAATGGCATGATTGCCAACGCAGGAGTGGCAGCTGTGGCCTCGACAATCTTTGTCCGCATTGCCCTTGGCACCTTGCTGGAACGCTTTGGCCCAGTGAATGTTCAAAGCGGCCTGCTATCCTTTGGAGCGTTTTGGGTTGCAATGGCTGCTGCCATTTCAGCACCATGGAACTACACCTTGATCCGATTTTTCATTGGGTGTGCCGGTGCCACATTCGTGACCAATCAGTTCTGGTGCTCGCTCATGTTCGCTCCCAATGTTATTGGCACTGCCAATGCCACCGCAGCAGGCTGGGGCAACTTGGGTGGTGGTGTGACCCAAATCTTCATGATTTCGGTCCTCTTCAACCCAATGGTGGATTCTGGTATGCTGCCAGACACCGCTTGGCGAGTGGCCATGGTTGTTCCGGCGGTCCTTTTTGTTGTTTGCGCCGTCAGCATGAAGCTCTTGTGCTGGGACACCCCCACAGCCAAGCGTTTCGATGTAGCGGTGACTGGCAAGACACAGAAGCCGTCTTTGTGGGACTACGTTGAGGTCCTGAAGGATGTCCGAGTCCTGGTGATGATCATGCAGTATTCGGCATGCTTCGGAACTGAGCTCGCGATGAACAATCAATTGGCGACCCACTTCAGGACCTACTTCCAAATGGCTGCGGCAGATGCTTCGGCTTTGGCGGGAGCATTTGGCTTGATGAACCTCTTTGCCCGGTCCCTGGGGGGAATCACCAGTGACCTCCTGTTCAAGTATATCGGCTTCCGTGGCCGCATTTGGGCGCAGTTCTTGTCCCTCTTCTTCGAGGCCATCTTCCTGTTCTGCTTCGGCTTGGTGGACAACTCGCAGCCATGGTATGTTGCGTTGGCAGTGCTCGTCTTCTTCTCCCTTTTTGTCCAGATGGCGGAAGGGACCAGCTACGGCATTGTCCCTTTCATGAACAAGCAGCAACTCGCGATTGTGTCCGCTTTGGTGGGTGCAGGCGGAAACTTGGGAGCCGTCATTGCCGGCTTCTGCTTCTACCGGCCCATTGATGATCCACTGCTTCCATTCCAGGTCCATGCCGGATACGTCATGTTCTGGGCTTTGTTGTCTCCTTGCTACTACTGGAGCGAGCACGGTGGCATGTTCCATGGACCAGCCGTGGTGCAGAAATCTTTGCCCAAGGTGGAAGCTGCAGAGACCGCTGTGTAGACTTTAGGAGCGCTCGGCATGGATTCCCTCGAGTTTCTTTGCCAACTTTCCGACATGAGCTGTTTGAGACGCTTATGTGGTGCTTTGGTCCCAAGGACACCGAAGTTCAATAGCAACTAAAGACACGAAGTCTTTCTTAGTTGTTTGAAGGCCCTTGTATGGAGTGCAGGGCCTCGCAACATCAGTTGGCAGACGAACTTTGTGGTGGAAACCACCACAAGCAGCTGTCATCGAGAAAAAGCACGTCTAGATCGTCTCAATCTTTTTTCAAAGTTCGGCGGAGCCCTCTTCATGTTCCCGACGCAGCATTCGCCAGGCTACGCTCGGCGTCTGCAAAGCCCAGAGCCGCAGTTTCAGATGGTGCGCAAGTCCGGGTTCAAAGGCGGCTCCCTGAGTTGATACGTTGTATTCATTTGACTTGATCGTTTGGCGGCAGACAGCCAAGTGAAATAGCTCGGAATAGCCCAAAGCACCTTTCCATTTTGCAATTTCTTGCATTGGCTTTGCTGGCACAATTTTGGGTTTGAAGGGACAGCACATCGATGCCTTCCTTAAATCTTGGATGGTTAATGCAGGAAGCTTGATCGCGTTGCCTCATGAAGTGGGACCTTTTGGATGCGACAGCAGAAAGAGAGAGAGAGAGAGAGAGAGAGAGAGAGAGAGAGAGAGAGAGAGAGAGAGAGAGAGAGAGAGAGAGAGAGAGAGAGAGAGAGAGAGAGAGAGCGAGAGAAGAGAGAGAGAAAGAGAGAGAGAGAGAGAAAGAGAGAAAGAGAGAGAAAGAGAGAGAAAGAGAGAAAGAGGGAAAGGAAGGGGGAGGGAGGGAGGGAGGGAGGGAGGGAGGGAGGGAGGGAGGGAGGGAGGAGGGAGGGAGGGAGGGAGGGAGGGAGGGAGGGAGGGAGGGAGGGAGGGAGGGAGGAGGCCATATTGTAACCTGACATAACCTGACATACGCAGTAGGGCTAATGTGAGAGGACTTCTGGAAAGCAGATGCACCAACAGCGGAAAGCAAACAAGCGCTTGCCGCCGAATGCGCTGGCCGTGAAACCAATTCACAGGCGGAATGACAACAGAAAGCAGGACATGATGCTAGGACTGCTCAATTGTTGTTTCCCGTCATCATCCAAGTTGCTTGCCGTATATGATATGTTTCCTCTCCCAATAACTTTCGCAATTATGTAGTTTCATGGCAGTGTGGGTGGGACTGGAAACCGTCGATTGGCCAAGGTGCACTGCCTTGCAGGGATTTCTGGTGACTGGGGCGGGGAGGCCTGAAACCAGAGGCGGAAGCGAAGCCAGAGAGAGTCCAGGGCGAAGATCATTTGAAGAAAACAGGACATTCGAATTGGGGGACGGGACAATCACTAGTGCTGATGTGTGGCCCTAAAATGACCACATACATCTAATGCTTCAACATGTCCAACACTCGATGGTAGATGGGGGCACCATTTAACCACAAAGGGACGGACCCGAGCTTTTTTCCTTAATGTCCATTAGGCGAACTGCATTGCTTTGAGGGCCCCTAAACCCGAAGCTTTCCCAAGAACTGAGCTCCTGCTTGCCAAATGCGAAGAAACACCCGCAGGTTCCTCCGCGGCTTGGAAGAAGACATGCGGCGGCCACAAGGCGGGGCCAATGCCAAGGAAGGCTTGCGAGCGAGCGCCTCTTGGTGTGACAGAACATATTTTGTATAGGGCGAGCCCCCTACCAATAGACGGCATTTAACTTTTGGTAGGGGTTCGGTGGCCAAAGGCTGCGCAAGGTTGGAGATGATGTCGCTGGCCAATGATTGAATCATATTTTGGATGTACATTTCGCAGCGTCTCGGTGGGAGTCGTAGTAGACCGGAAGTCTCTAGATTCCAAACATGTCGGACTTCAAGTTGGCAGTGAATGAGAACAACAAGGCCACAGAATTGCCACTGCTCCGGGTGTGTGGGACTGTTCAGCAGAATCCACACATGCGAGCATTCTGGGCCTCAACGATTTCTTTCTTTCTGGCGTTCCTGGGCTGGTTTGCCTTGGCACCTTTGGGGCTGGAGGTAGCCACCAGCATGGGCCAATGTGAGAATCAACTGTACCCCACCGCCGAGTACCCCAAGAGGGTGGCCTACCTGAAGTACAAGAACCTCAAGAGTGGCCTTGAGTATTGCCAATATGGCAAGGTTCTGGACTCCAATGATGCGCCCACCGATTGCCAGCCAGTGCCTGCTGACAAACTGCTGACTGGAACTGATGAGGAAAAGCTTCAGTACCGACCTGCAGTGCTGGCCAAGTGCGTTTGCACCACAGGGACTTCATGCAATGGCATGATTGCCAACGCAGGAGTAGCAGCTGTGGCCTCGACAATCTTTGTCCGCATTGCCCTTGGCACCTTGCTGGAACGCTTTGGCCCAGTGAATGTTCAAAGCGGCCTGCTATCCTTTGGAGCTTTTTGGGTTGCAATGGCTGCTGCCATTTCAGCACCATGGAACTACACCTTGATCCGATTTTTCATTGGGTGTGCCGGTGCCACATTCGTGACCAATCAGTTCTGGTGCTCGCTCATGTTCGCTCCCAATGTTATTGGCACTGCCAATGCCACCGCAGCAGGCTGGGGCAACTTGGGTGGTGGTGTGACCCAAATCTTCATGATTTCGGTCCTCTTCAACCCAATGGTGGATTCTGGTATGCTGCCAGACACTGCTTGGCGAGTGGCCATGGTTGTTCCGGCGGTCCTTTTTGTTGTTTGCGCCGTCAGCATGAAGCTCTTGTGCTGGGACACCCCCACAGCCAAGCGTTTCGATGTAGCGGTGACTGGCAAGACACAGAAGCCGTCTTTGTGGGACTACGTTGAGGTCCTGAAGGATGTCCGAGTCCTGGTGATGATCATGCAGTATTCGGCATGCTTCGGAACTGAGCTTGCGATGAACAATCAATTGGCGACCCACTTCAGGACCTACTTCCAAATGGCTGCGGCAGATGCTTCGGCTTTGGCGGGAGCATTTGGCTTGATGAACCTCTTTGCCCGGTCCCTGGGGGGAATCACCAGTGACCTCCTGTTCAAGTATATCGGCTTCCGTGGCCGCATTTGGGCGCAGTTCTTGTCCCTCTTCTTCGAGGCCATCTTCCTGTTCTGCTTCGGCTTGGTGGACAACTCGCAGCCATGGTATGTTGCGTTGGCAGTGCTCGTCTTCTTCTCCCTTTTTGTCCAGATGGCGGAAGGGACCAGCTACGGCATTGTCCCTTTCATGAACAAGCAGCAACTCGCGATTGTGTCCGCTTTGGTGGGTGCAGGCGGAAACTTGGGAGCCGTCATTGCCGGCTTCTGCTTCTACCGGCCCATTGATGATCCACTGCTTCCATTCCAGGTCCATGCCGGATACGTCATGTTCTGGGCCTTGTTGTCTCCTTGCTACTACTGGAGCGAGCACGGTGGCATGTTCCATGGACCAGCCGTGGTGCAGAAATCTTTGCCCAAGGTGGAAGCTGCACAGACCGCTGTGTAGACTTTAGGAGCGCTCGGCATGGATTCCCTCGAGTTTCTTTGCCAACTTTCCGACATGAGCTGTTTGAGACGCTTATGTGGTGCTTTGGTCCCAAGGACACCGAAGTTCACTAGCAACTAAAGACACGAAGTCTTTCTTAGTTGTTTGAAGGTCCTTGTATGGAGTGCAGGGCCTCGCAACATCAGTTGGCAGACGAACTTTGTGGTGGAAACCACCACAAGCAGCTGTCATCGAGAAAAAACACGTCTAGATCGTCTCAATCTTTTTTCAAAGTTCGGCGGAGCCCTCTTCATGTTCCCGACGCAGCATTCGCTAGGCTACGCTCGGCGTCTGCAAAGCCCAGAGCCGCAGTTTCAGATGGTGCGCAAGTCCAGGTTCAAATATGGCGGCTCCCTGAGTGGATACGTTGTATTCATTTGACTTGATCGTTTGGCGGCAGACAGCCAAGTGAAATAGCTCGGAATAGCCCAAAGCACCTTTCCATTTTGCAGTTTCTTGCATTAGCTTTGCTGGCACAATTTTGGGTTTGAAGGGACAGCACATCGATGCCTTCCTTAAATCTTGGATGGTTAACGCAGGAAGCTTGATTGCGTTGCCTCATGAAGTGGGACCTTTTGGATGCGACAGCAGAAAGAGAGAGAGAGAGAGAGAGAGAGAGAGAGAGAGAGAGGAGAGAGAGAGAGAGAGAGAGAGAGAGAGAGAGAGAGAGAGAGAGAGAGAGAGAGAGAGAGAGAGAGAGAGAGAGAGAGAGAGAGAGAGCGAGAGAGAGAGAGAGAGAGAGAGAGAAAGAGAGAGAGAGAGAAGGAGAGAGAAAGAGAGAGAAGAGAGAGAAAGAGAGAGAAAGAGAGAGAAAGAGAGAGAAAGAGAGAAAGAGGGAAGGAGGAGGGAGGGAGGGAGGGAGGGAGGGAGGGGGAGGGAGGGAGGGAGGGAGGGAGGGAGGGAGGGAGGGAGGAGGCCATATTGTAAGCTGACATACGCAGTAGGGCTAATGTGAGAGGACTTCTGGAAAGCAGATGCACCAACAGCGGAAAGCAAACAAGCGCTTGCCGCCGAATGCGCTGGCCGTGAAACCAATTCACAGGCGGAATGACAACAGAAAGCAGGACATGATGCTAGGACTGCTCAATTGTTGTTTCCCGTCATCATCCAAGTTGCTTGCCGTATATGATATGTTTCCTCTCCCAAGAACTTTCGCAATTATGTAGTTTCATGGCAGTGTGGGTGGGACTGGAAACCGTCGATTGGCCAAGGTGCACTGCCTTGCAGGGATTTCTGGTGACTGGGGCGGGGAGGCCTGAAACCAGAGGCGGAAGCGAAGCCAGAGAGAGTCCAGGGCGAAGATCATTTGGAGAAAACAGGACATTCGAATTGGGGGACGGGACAATCACTTGTGCTGATTTGTGGCCCTAAAATGACCACATACATCTAATGCTTCAACATGTCCAACACTCGATGGTAGATGGGGGCACTACATTTAACCACAAAGGGACGGACCCGAGCTTTTTTCCTTAATGTCCATTAGGCGCACTGCATTGCTTTGAGGGCCCCTAAACCCGAAGCTTTCCCAAGAACTGAGCTCCTGCTTGCCAAATGCGAAGAAACACCCGCAGGTTCCTCCGCGGCTTGGAAGAAGACATGCGGCCACAAGGCGGGGCCAACGCCGAGGAAGGCTTGCGAGCGAGCGCCTCTTGGTGTGACAGAACATATTTTGTATAGGGCGAGCCCCCTACCAATAGACGGCATTTAACTTTTGGTAGGGGTTCGGTGGCCAAAGGCTGCGCAAGGTTGGAGATGATGTCGCTGGCCAATGATTGAATCATATTTTGGATGTACATTTCGCAGCGTCTCGTTGAAAGTCGTAGTAGACCGGAAGTCTCTAGATTCCAAACATGTCGGACTTCAAGTTGGCAGTGAATGAGAACAACAAGGCCACAGAATTGCCACTGCTCCGGGTGTGTGGGACTGTTCAGCAGAACCCACACATGCGAGCATTCTGGGCCTCAACGATTTCTTTCTTTCTGGCGTTCCTGGGCTGGTTTGCCTTGGCACCTTTGGGGCTGGAGGTAGCCACCAGCATGGGCCAATGTGAGAATCAACTGTACCCCACCGCCGAGTACCCCAAGAGGGTGGCCTACCTGAAGTACAAGAACCTCAAGAGTGGCCTTGAGTATTGCCAATATGGCAAGGTTCTGGACTCCAATGATGCGCCCACCGATTGCCAGCCAGTGCCTGCTGACAAACTGCTGACTGGAACTGATGAGGAAAAGCTTCAGTACCGACCTGCAGTGCTGGCCAAGTGCGTTTGCACCACAGGGACTTCATGCAATGGCATGATTGCCAACGCAGGAGTGGCAGCTGTGGCCTCGACAATCTTTGTCCGCATTGCCCTTGGCACCTTGCTGGAACGCTTTGGCCCAGTGAATGTTCAAAGCGGCCTGCTATCCTTTGGAGCGTTTTGGGTTGCAATGGCTGCTGCCATTTCAGCACCATGGAACTACACCTTGATCCGATTTTTCATTGGGTGTGCCGGTGCCACATTCGTGACCAATCAGTTCTGGTGCTCGCTCATGTTCGCTCCCAATGTTATTGGCACTGCCAATGCCACCGCAGCAGGCTGGGGCAACTTGGGTGGTGGTGTGACCCAAATCTTCATGATTTCGGTCCTCTTCAACCCAATGGTGGATTCTGGTATGCTGCCAGACACCGCTTGGCGAGTGGCCATGGTTGTTCCGGCGGTCCTTTTTGTTGTTTGCGCCGTCAGCATGAAGCTCTTGTGCTGGGACACCCCCACAGCCAAGCGTTTCGATGTAGCGGTGACTGGCAAGACACAGAAGCCGTCTTTGTGGGACTACGTTGAGGTCCTGAAGGATGTCCGAGTCCTGGTGATGATCATGCAGTATTCGGCATGCTTCGGAACTGAGCTCGCGATGAACAATCAATTGGCGACCCACTTCAGGACCTACTTCCAAATGGCTGCGGCAGATGCTTCCGCCTTGGCGGGAGCATTTGGCTTGATGAACCTCTTTGCCCGGTCCCTGGGGGGAATCACCAGTGACCTCCTGTTCAAGTATATCGGCTTCCGTGGCCGCATTTGGGCGCAGTTCTTGTCCCTCTTCTTCGAGGCCATCTTCCTGTTCTGCTTCGGCTTGGTGGACAACTCTCAGCCATGGTATGTTGCGTTAGCAGTGCTCGTCTTCTTCTCCCTTTTTGTCCAGATGGCGGAAGGGACCAGCTACGGCATTGTGCCCTTCATGAACAAGCAGCAACTCGCGATTGTGTCCGCTTTGGTGGGTGCAGGCGGAAACTTGGGAGCCGTCATTGCCGGCTTCTGCTTCTACCGGCCCATTGATGATCCACTGCTTCCATTCCAGGTCCATGCCGGCTACGTCATGTTCTGGGCCTTGTTGTCTCCTTGCTACTACTGGAGCGAGCATGGTGGCATGTTCCATGGACCAGCCGTGGTGCAGAAATCTGAGCCCAAGGTGGAAGCTGCAGAGACCGCTGTGTAGACATTAGCTCGGCATGGATTCCATCGAGTTTCTTTGCCAACTTTCCGACATGAGCTGTTTGAGACGCTTGTGGGGTGCTTTGGTCCCAAGGACACCGAAGTTCAATAGCAACTAAAGACACGAAGTCTTTCTTAGTTGTTTGAAGGCCCTTGTATGGAGTGCAGGGCCTCGCAACATCAGTTGGCAGACAAACTTTGTGGTGGAAACCACCACAAGCAGCTGTCATCGAGAAAAAGCACGTCTAGATCGTCTCAATATTTTTCAAAGTTCGGCGGAGCCCCTCTTCATGTTGTAAGAGGCTCTCCACCATAGTGTAAGCTAACATATGCCGTAGGGCTAATGTGAGTGGACCTCTGGAAAGCAGATGCACCAACAGCGGAATGCAAACAAGCGCTTGCCGCCGAATGCAGGCGGAATGACAACAGAAAGCAGGACATGATGATATGACCGCTCAATTGTTGTTTCCCGTCATCATCCAAGTTGTTTGCAATAGTTTGCTTGCCGCATATGATATTTTTCCTTTCCCAATAACTTTGGCAATTATGTAGTTTCATGGCAGTGCGGGCGCGACTGAAAACCGTCGATTGGCCAAGGTGCACTGCCTTGCAGGGATCTCCAGTGACTGCGGGGAGGCCTGAAACCAGAGGCGGAAGCGAAGCCAGAGAGAGTCCAGGGCGAAGACCATCTGGAGAAAACAGGACATTCGAATTGGAGGACGGGACTCACTAGTGCTGATTTGTGGCCCTAAAATGACCACATATACGTACATCTAATGCTTCAACATGTCCAACAGTGGATGGTAGATGGGGGCGCTGCATTTAACCACAAAAGGACGGACCCGAGCGTTTTTCCTTAATGTCCATTAGGCGAACTGCATTGCTTTGAGGGCCCCTAAACCCGAAGCTTTCCCAAGAAGTGAGCTCCTGCTTGCCAAATGCGAAGAAACACCCGCAGGTTCCTCCGCGGCTTGGAAGAAGACATGCGGCCACAAGGCGGGGCCAATGCCAAGGAAGGCTTGCGAGCGAGCGCCTCTTGGCGTGACAGAACATGTTTTGTATAGGGCAAGCCGCCAACCAATAGACGTCATTTAGCTTTTGGTGCTCGATCGGCAAAGGCTGCTCGTGGTTGGAGATGATGTCGCTGGTCAATGATTGAATTATATTTTGGACATATGTCTTGGTGGGAGTCGTAGTAGACCGAACATCTCTAGATTCCAAAAATGTCGGACTTCAAGTTTGCAGTGAACGAGAACAACAAAGACAGAGAATTACCGCTGCTCCGGGTGTGTGGAACTGTTTTTGGCTGAGGGCCTCTCCGTAGCCATATTGGCTCAAGCCAAGGCTCAACATAGCTTCGCAAAAGCATGAAACACCGGTGAGTAAGGTCACCGCCAGATGCAAGGCCGATGGCCGACTTGTGACAGCCACCGGGGGCCGATTCCTTCGGCTTCCCTCGCGCATGGACTGATCTCTTACTCTTGATGTGTGGTGACGTCCACCCGTCGTCGGCGGTAGCGTATGGCGTCAGGCTCCAGGCTCTGGACTCTTAACACCGGGGGCGCCCCGAGTGCGTGGGAGCTCTTGACGGTGTCGCCATTCTGTGCATCCAAAGCGCAAAATGCATGAACGCGAGCAAATTGCATTTGCCAACAAATTATCAGCTAGGCTGCCCAACTAACCTTGATATCCGGGGCAACACTCTGTGCACTGTGGGCGCCCTGACCCACACTGGACGAAAATGACTTTGTGACCGCTCTTGAAACTTTCAACGCACGCCCAATCGCCCCTTGTGCTGGGAGGGCGCTCGTGTAATTGGCTATGGCAGTACCAACTTACCGCCGCAGCGCTTGACTGTAACTTTGATGCCTTACGCGCCCTCTGACCGCATCATTGTGTGCCCAGAATTTGTGTGTAACTCCCGTGAACACGCGCAGCTTGTTGTGCAGCCGACGCGCCAGCTGTTGGCCCCCGCTGGCATTCCCTTGGCGGCTTGGACTGAAAAGCTACCGAGGAAGGAAGGGGCGGGTTGGCGCTCTCCGGGCGGCCGGACTCGGGCAGAGTGTGATGATGTCTGGCTATCTTTGATGCGTGTGCTTGAAAGGTGCCCAACGCAAACCTCTCAGCACTTCTCGGATGTCAGAGCACAGGTTGCAAACCAGAGGCACGCCCAAAAAACACCTGCCAGCGCCAGTCTTAGCCACGCGCAAATGGCGATCCGGGATGCTCTGTGGCAACCTGCCGAGCCTGAGAACCTTCCGGCCGGCAACACACCAGTGTACAACGGCGCCCGATGTGGTTTTGCCAGCGCTGGGGTTCAGGAAAACTTCGACATGATCAAAGCCTTTTGGCGCAACTGCGACCACCCAATCCGGCCCAGGTGCACGCAGTCGACCGATGAGCAGAAGCCATCGGGCCAGCGCCGCCACTCGCACGAGGTCACTTGGACGCCCTTGAACTTGCAAAAATAGCAGGAACCATCCGCCGCTGGCACCTGCACTTGGACGGGTAACGAAGTGGCTGACTTGCCCAGGCAAGACTGTGACGCGGCGAATCTGCGCGTCGACAGCGGCATGTGGTAAGGGGATGACTCGCTGGCATTTGCGGAGCATGTGCGCAATGATGGGACTGCAAGCCTTTCTGTTCAGGTGGTTCTGGACATTGCCTGGCCTCGATCAAGTCACGCCCTTGATCAACGCTCATGTCGCACCTCATGAGGCCGCAGCTTAGCAACCTCTCACAGCAGACGAGCTGCAGCAGTCGACAAGGGAAGTCAGAAAGAGTCGACGGACGCAACGTCGGCCGTGGAATTGGTGCCATTGAATTCTTCAATCTTGCCAAGGCCAGGAATGTTCCAATTGTTGCCATTCAGGAAGATAGTCTCGATCCTGGTCACAGATATGTCCAAGTCGGATCCGTCTGGGGTGTCAAGTTGCTGGTGAAACGCGCCTTGCGTTGCCGCTTGACCAACAGCTTCAATGAAGATGACGGAAAAGTTGTCACTGTCATGATTGGGAACTGCGCGATAAGCACCCTTTATCGATGCCGCCTGCGTGGGCGGAAGGGACAAGCGTGAAGATCCACTAAAATCAGAGCCTCCCCCCCGAGATCGCTGCCCAGCGCGACGCACCATACCAGGCTAAAAGGTGAACTCTCGTTCCCCGCAGAACAGAGTTCCACCTCTCCGGATCCATGCGGCCGGCGTCCTGTTGGAAGAAACGCTGCGCCACCCGTGCGGCCACCTGGACTCGCTGGCGTAACTTCCGCAAAAGCAAGAGGCAAGAAGACGCGCCCGCCCGCGATGAAGTGGGAACTCACTCAACAAGAGCGGGGAACTCTCCACAAACCCACCACCCCACCCACCCGCCCCACCCGCCCACCCACCCAAACCCACACCCCCACCACCCCACCCACCCCACCCACCCCACCCAAACCACCCACACACAACCCCACCCACCAACCCCACCCACCCACCCACCCACCCCACCCCACCCGCCCCACCCACACCGGCCCAAGCTCCACGGGCAGCTCCAGCTCAACCCCAAAGTGGGCGTGCGTGCAATGTTGCATCCCTGGACGCACGAGCGATACAGATGAAACTCCTTGTCTACCTGCCACTGCTTTGAGGATCTCACATCCCATGAACTGCAGCTCAAGCTCAGGGGTGGCAGGCTGACCTGACGCAAGATCCTGGCAAGTGCTGGGGGCGTCTCCCACGCTTTTTGACTGGCTGCCAAAGCCGTGGCTGAAATAGCAACCAAAGACACAAATTCTTCCTTAGTTGCTTGACGGCCCTTTTATGGAGCGCAGGGCCTCGCAACACCAGTTGGCAGACGAACTTTGTGGTGGAAATCACCACAAGCAGCTGTCACTCCAGATCGTCCCAAGAGCCCAGTTGGAGATAGTGCGCAAGTCAAGCTTCAAACATGGTGGCTCCCTGAGTTGATATGTTGTATTCGTGTGACGTGATCGCTTGGCGGCAGCCAAAAAAGCTGCACAGTGTTTGTTTCCCTTTTGATCCAGATTCTTGGCACTATGATTCTTGCCACACGTGGAAGTTTCTCCTGTGTTTAGCGAATCTGTTAGGAGGCTTGAGAATCACTCATACCCATGCTGCGCACATCGAAGCGTTTGCAGGCGGAACCCGGGCGCTGTGCGTACGCAGGGGGGCTTGGCTGCAAAGATGGCATGCGCCATCCGAAGTTTGGTGATGGGAGTGCTTCTGGTTTTCTGAAGTGGAAGGGGGCAAGCCCCCGCCCCAAAAAATGAAAAACGGACAAGAAGAAAACGGCAGGCTCACTACTTCTCCCATGTCATCTACGGCAACAGCATGTATTTTGACCGTGGCTCCGCCCATTGTCCTCAGCCAAGGCCAGCCTACCGACATGGACGCGAGGGATGAAAACAGAGCGCAACAATTTCAAAGAGACACCAAAGTGTTCCTAGCAACCAGGTTCCAGTGTGCGTCGCAATTCGTTTCTAGTCTCCTAATGGGCTTGTTGTAACCCATTTAGGGTCACCCAATGGAAGGTTGGCCCGACAGGAAGGTTTTGGAAGGGAAGCGCGGAATGGATTGCTCACTCCGCCGATTTTTGGAGGCGAAGTGAAGGGTCACAGTGCCTATGCCAGATGCCGCTAGTTTCATTGGCTCACAGTTCCAAAACCTCGGGTGATCTCGGGTGGGTGAAAAAAGGCTGCTGGGCAGGCCGGGTCCGCATTTTCGCAGCCCCCATTCACTATACCCAAAAAACGGATAAAAACCAGAAAGATGGAGATCTTCGACTGAGACCTCCCTGCTCCATGTGAGAGAGCAGCTCCGAACGCTGGAGGCACGCCGGATGCGGCGAAAATGGGCCGCGGTGGCCCTTCTGAGTAGTGGGGGCCCGAAGCGTGGACACGAGCATCCGTGGGCGTGGCAGCCGCTGGGGTTGTTCCTGTTTTCTCTGGAACTTTGATACTTATTTTGCCGTAGGTCCGTGGGTCAGCAAATGAGACCTGTGGCTCAAGTGGACCTTTCCCTCGCGGCCTTCGAAACCGTTTTTCGCTTTTCAGGCAAGCGAGAGCAGCCAGACTGCGGCAAAGGGCCTTCCAAGCTTCAATCGATCGATTTCGCACGAGGTACCGGCTGGATGTTCTTGCACTGCGGCCAAAAGGTGGCTTTCTCGATGCAGGCGCCTATGTCAAGTGTTTGACTTGCAGGGCTTAGGCTGAAGTATGCCACAGGGCAAGTGAGGGCCATCCCTTTTGCACTGGTTGGCCATAGGGAATTTGATGGCAAGAGAAGAGAATGGCTAAGACGTAGGGGTTCATCCGAGTCTCGTCGGGTTTGTGTGTTTGATGCTTAGAGTGATGTAAGACATTTGGGAAGTGTCTTGCCCCCCTAGATCAGGCATGCACGGCCATGTTCAGGACCATGCATCAGTGTGTCCGGCGCAAGATGGACCGCTGCAGCCAATGGCTCGCCCGAATAGCAACAGGTAGGCTAGCGAAAACAACCCCCCGACTTCGGGCCGGGTTTGCAAGATCAAGGGGTCAACTCATTGGGTGATCCTTACTGCAGTGAAATGCATTTCAACATATGGGCTCTAGGATGCTACAAATCCCAACCGTAAATAGCTGCGGCCGCCTTCTTAATTCTTTACATGGTTCGTGACTCACATGAACCGTTTGTTGGAACCTCTTTGAGACCCTGAATTCAGGGCCGTCCGCATCGCGGCAGGCCCCAGCCCCGGCGCGCCCCTCCAAAGTGCAGGCTGGCCCTTCGCCGGGGCGACGCGCCCTCTAGAGTGGGACTGTACTCAGTTGTTCAGTGGCTCCAATTATTTTTCCCCTTTTTTTTCCGGGTGGCTGCCCCACTAAAAATGGTCTTCCCCAGAAAGGGTTCCTTTTTTTCTAGGGTCACTGAACAACTGAGTGTAGTCACGGTGCCCCCTTGTTTCCCTTCAAACCAAAAGGGCACCCTCAAAAGGATAGCGAGTTGCTCAAAGTGAATCGCCATATCAAAACATATCAAAACTCGGACTGCTGAAGGGCTTTGGGTCAAGACTCGCTCGCACCTGAGTGCCACGCAGGGGTACACCCCAACGCCGTCCCACTGTTTGGCTGGAGCTGCGTTGGTGGCAATCACGCTGAGGCAGGGTGGAAGATCCCCAAGGGGGTGTGCTTGAACTTGGCGAGTTGGGGCCTATGTTTTGAATCTTGAGTTTCATGGAGTAGAGTTGACGGTTGTGCACCTGCCAGTGGAAGTTGTAAGGAGCCACACACGCGTGCTATTTGCTGTGAAGTGTTGGAGCGACCGCGGCCGAAGCGCAGTGCAGATGAAAGGAGTTTGAAGCCAGCACAAAGTTCCGTTCCATTGGTGAGAAGGATTTGGTCCTTTCGCGCAAGTTAGCCGAAACACAACCAAAAGCAAAAGATCACATATGGGGGTCAGCCAGATTTCTACTGCTGTGACCAATCACAGCCCTCACCTCTACCCTGGATGCCGGAACAGAAGCCGCTCCCACACGTAATGTTGACTCCGGATTAGTAGACCCCTGTTTATGAATATGGGGGTGTTCGTGGATCACTTTTGGAGGGGAACACCCCCTTGTTAGTCTACACAGGTTGATGAATCCGGGGTCAACATCAAGCACAGTCGTTGCATCCAGCTTTAAGGGTTTTGGTCGCAGATGCCCGCTTTGGCGGCCCGATCGACGACGCGCTGCGCGGTCAGCAGGCCCGCTGCCGATGTCCGCTTTGGAGCATTCGGTTCCGAGTTGAATCCAGAGCTCGGGTCCTGAGGATGGAATCCCGCAGCAATGAGCTCATGCAGTCGGGTGGCCACACCCCACCCTCACCTCATAGAACTTTGCCCAGGAACCCCTAAACACACCTCCAGAAGTGGTCTAGCTTCGTCTTTCCCAAGAAAATGTGTTTGGTTGAGGGGGGGGGTTGCGGCGTGACAACCCCCTCACCCAACCCCAACCCCCCCCCCCCCCAGTGCCCAAGTTTGCGCGAGGTCTCAAACTCTTTGGGCCGGAGGGCCCCACTGCCCTGGGCCTCAGAGTCGAAGCCATCCCACGGGTCCCGAAATGGCGATTTCCCGGGCAGGGAAGTGTTGAATCTCAATGGATCTCATGTGAACCGGCAAGTGGCGCGCGGGGTACGTTGGGAGCACTGTCCCAGTCATTCGTGAGGGACAAAACATCAGCTACAGTTGATTTGGGCAGATGAATGGCAACACAGGACTCTGGACAGTCCCAAACCATAAATAGGCGGCCGCCCTTTTTAGCTTGGTTTGGGTAGATTTCTTAATTTCCAAGTTGATACATATATATATATATATATGTATAGATTCAACGCAGATGACTCAGATGACCGACTCAGATGAATCAGATGCCTGCTGGAAGGAATAAACAAGGGGACATTGTATCACAATACAGAAGAGGAAAGGAATGCAAGGATGTATGACAAAGTTGCGCAGCGATCACGGAGATGTGTTTGATCGCAAGGTTGACTTTGGCGGGGGCAGGTTCACCTTTGAATTGGCGGAACACCAGTCATGGGTTTGTCGTGAAATTAGAGACCCCAGAGATGGTGGCTTTTCTCGTCTTCAAAGCCAACCAAAAAGGGTTTGGAGGGCCAGTTATATATACATACCCTCTAAGCGAAAATCCTTTAATTTTAAAGGGTCAAATGGGAACACCTGGTTTTTGGGCAAGTTTTGGAAAAATAAGGGTTTTCCAGGGAAAAACCCGGTATTTCACTTACATCCTTTATTTTGGCACTTTTCGCAAGCGAAATGTCGGATGTTTGAAGAACAGAGCAAAGGTGCCGGATCTCGAGCAGGTGTTGAAAGGAGCCGCCGCCAGGTTTCTTTCACTGCCAAATTGTATATTGGGTTTCTAGATGTTGTTTGGGAATCTCTTGTGGTTTCCTTTTGTACCGCCAAGTGCGCGATAGCCTCCTGCTCCTCAAAAGGCAGGGGTAGACGCGAGGGCGTGGTCAACCAAACTCAAGAATGAAGCGGGACAACCAACTTGAATGTACAAGTGTGCGCTGAGTCGAGTAACGAATGCAAGTGCCACTTTGGGATACTGCCTGATGTTTAAAAAATACAAAACAAAGTACCATGCTTGAGCATGATGTGTCAATCACGCAGAGCTAGTGATGGTCATGTAGTGAACTGACAAGCCAAATGCCAACAAAGCTGGCCTCCGCCTAAGTCGCACTTTCTTCCAGCACCTAACTTTGATTCGATGGGAAGCACAGTCCAAGCCAAACATGTTGCGTAGTACGTGTTTGTGCCCGAAAACCTTCGGATGTTCTACCGCAATGTCATACAAAACCAGTTCGCTGCTCGCGCAATCTAGCTGTGTGCCCGTTTTTCTTTGCTGGAAAGCTTCTGGAAGGGCGAGCGCGTGCGAAAAAAAAAAGGAAACCCATAAAAATCCCATACGAATCCCATAAAAAAAAAGAACCATACAAACCCATATTTTTCCGAAAACCCGGTTTTTCCTAACCCGTACAAAAACCGTACAAATCCCATAAAAATACCGTACAAACCCGTACGCAATTTATGGGATTTTCAGCCTCTGCTCAAGCAGCTTTCCAGGCCCGAGCTGCCCGAAATAAGCTTGCAAGGTGACCTTGCGAAAAGCAGTCATTCATGTGTTCGTCCCGCGCGTCTTTAATTACCTGCTGTCCTAGTGTTCAAAGTGGGTTAGGTTCTTTTGGCTCGCTCCAAAAATGATGTTCCTGCGACGTTTAGACAAGCCTGCGAGAAGCTCCGGGATCAATGCTTTAGCACGGGACTTGGTTGTCAAATAAGTGAGCATTTGCAAGACGGCCCTCCAGACGTATCCGACGCGAGCTTTACGCAAAAAGTCCCAAGCAGATTGCTCAGTGCCATACACACTATGTACACACGTGCAGCTACCGCTTGCGGTAAACTGGGACTACTTGTTGCCCTTGTCAGAAAGTTCATATTCCAATGCTGCTTTAAACTTCCCGAGCCACGATCTGGGAAGCCTTCCCAACAAATTGCGGATTGACCATTGTTTCGAGTTCAGCAGGTGATTAGCAACAGGTGCCATGATCAATGAGCTTGCATGGATGGATTGCTAGGCGGCCGTGGAGCGTTTGACTGGATGTAAGAGAGCCAACAAAAGGATTATATTGAGGGAACCACAATCATAACTCACGCAAGACCATTCTGATTACAACGCAAAAAGTAAAAACCCGGTATTTCCTGGAAAAACCCGGATATTTTGCCATACCTTTAAAATAAATGGATATTTGCTTAGAGGGTATATATATATTGTTTTTCAGGGTGGGTTGCTTTTCGGCTTTTTGGCTTTTGTGGGTTGTGGCTTTTTGGTGCTGGGCCAAGGTACTGCTAAGCAGTGCATCGATTGGGGTGGCCACAGGCGGGTGGCTCTGTGTCTGCGTCGAGATGCTCCGACTGCCTAGAGCCAGGGCTTCCCGGATTTTCCTTTAGCCGCCATCCCTATGGGTATGGGTCAACATTAAACCAGGATATGGACCGCAGGCTTTGGTCCTTGTTTCCATTTTCCAGGGCAAGCCATGTTGGGCACCTAGTTTTGACCCGCGCCAGTTTTAAAAGATCCAAGAGGCTCAATATGTCGAGGCTGCGCGGTGGTGGTCTTTGAGCTGATCATCAAGGAACTGGAGGAGCGATCAGAGCACAACTCGACATGAGCAGGCTGCTGCGATCATGAAGTACCCTTTACATTACGTTGTTGCATTTTGCTTGGATGTTAGGACTTTAACTTTTGCCAACTAAAAGTTAAACTTTTAGCAGGGGAGCAGAAATCTACCAAGATTAAACTGGTGGAACCTGTGGGGTAGAGAAGAGGTTGACGCTTCCACGGTAGGTCGGGGGACATTTTTCTGGGCACGGGGAAGCAAGTGGTCCTCGAAGCTCTTCGCAGCTGAGCTTCTCAAAATGGCGGAGCCTTAAACATTTGTCCGCTTGAGAATGTTTTTTTTTTTAATTCCTTTGTTGGTTTTAAAGGGAATCTATCCACTACGGAACATATTTCAGTTTGTTCCCGGCTTCAGCAAATGGAAGTATGAATGGGCTGTTTCCTTGTGGCTCCCTTCCAAATCACATTTGATTGTAAAAACATGGCCCCTTGGGCCCTGTGGATACGAAACCTGGGGAGCCCTTAGTTTGACAGCCCTTGGGTAGTTCCATGGAAAAGAAGGAAACAAATCCGATCTGCAGGGGCTCCTATTTTGTCCTGTCTTCGTTTAAGAGCAGCTTGGGTATACGGGTCTGTGTCTTTTATGTTGAGGACCCCCAACCTGGATCCTGGCTTCCTATTAGTTTCCCCTTTAACCCTCTCCACCTTTTCGATAGGCAGGGAATGAGAAATGTCACCCGGGTTCATTCCCTCATTCCCTACCTGGCTGGTTGTCAAAACCGTTTTGGGATCCCATTTTGGTTGGGTTTCGGTGAATTCACCCATTTTAGGCTTCCTATTTTAGTGGTTGGATTGAATCGGATGTGACCACTGGGGGCTAACCGAGTTGGATTTTGACCCACCGCCTATCGCAGGAGCTCAGGGAGGAGCTGCCGCTGCCGGTGCTGGCACCGATCCTGGGCCGCTTGGCTGCGCTCATTTCTTGGCTGCTATTGGGTTGGATCTTTAGACTTGAGCTTGTTGGTTGAAATAAAGGTGTTTTCCACCAAACCCCCCAAACAGTTGAACTTTTTGCAGGGGGTTAACAGCAACCAAGATTTTGGGTGAGAACTGTTCGGATGATGACATCAAAAGGCTTGCGATCGCTGCGAGAGACGCAGGGAATGAGAAATGCGGAGAAATGGAATGAAGCCGATTTTTTAGCCATCCCTTGCGGGTGGTTTCCTTTAAGGGAATGCCCAGGCTCATTCCCTCATTCCCGAGCACCAGCAAGAAGGACACATGCAGTTGGGGGTGCCGGGGTGCCCTGTTTCGTTCCTCAAGATACGTCCTGCTGTATCTCTAGGGGGCGAAATGGGGACACGTTTTTATTCCTGGGTAGGAAGAAAGAGAGGCCAACGTGCGTTTGGGGAAGTCCAGCAAAGGAAACCATGTTTATTGGTCATTTGGTCAATTCATTGGGGATGCAACCCATTTTTAGCCCACCCTCTCATTTCATTCTGCCGGAACTGGCGAACATTCACGGAGATGTGAATGCCCCCTAAGCTGGCCGCTTATTGGAGGCCAAACTTCCATTGGTGCGTGCTTCTCTCTTGAAGTTGGTCACGCGCTATGGGTCAAAACAAATGGGGTCCCATTTTGGGGCAGGTGCACCACCCATTTTAGTCGATTTTAGTGGGGATTGGGATGTTCACTGGGGGCTAACCGATTTGGATTTTGACCCATGGCCATTTTGTTTAAAGGCAAAGCGCAGGGGGCACCGCCGTTTTTCCGGGTGCTCAGGTGCTTTGGCGCTCGCGGCAATCTTCACCGCCTTCGGGGGCAAAGACAACCTTGCTGGCACGGACATCAAATCTTTGAAGCCCGGCTGCAGCGAACGAAGAGCATCGCGGGCTTTGAAGAACATGGCAGGCGGGAGAAGGGGAAGGTGAGTTGCAGCACCGGGGCTTTGATGTGCGCCCTTGCGCTGAATGGAAGGGGAGGGGAGGTGCGATCATGTCGCCGGTCTGGACGAGTTGAGAGAGTCGCCGCGACATATCTCAGGAAGTCATATGCAGCTGCAGGCAGGGTGAAAAGGGGCAGTCACTTTGATACGGGCCGGTTTAAGGGAACTTGGCTGGCCGGTTGAAAGGGACACCACCAGGAAAAGGCACTGAACAACCACTGAACCACCATTTCGCGGGTTCCCGTATTTTGAGACACCCATATTACATGTGTTCAGGCTAACAAGGCTCAGGTATGGATTTGTTGTATACGGTACAGGAGGACACGTGGCTCGTCTGATCCTTTTGAGGACTGCTGAAACTTCAGGATTTTGAGGCATATCCCCCTGAGGGCGAGCAAATGCTCGGGATGAAGTGTCCCAACTGATTGAGCACTTGTGGTTTCTTATCTGGCTAGTGATCCTGACAATGATTGACATTTCTCATCGTCTATGATTCATACCCATTTGAGCGTGTTTGTTTTTGAGGGAACTCATGGAGTGTCCCATTTCTATTAATGCCCAGTTTGCACCAGGGTGCCATTTTTCTTTAAGGGCCCCTTTTCTCCTTAACAGGGAAACCGAAAGGAACAAAGACACAATTTCTGGGCTCCGTTTGTTTGACTTAACTTTTGGATCTGAGGGATTTGTTGGGTTAGGGATTTGTGGGTCCAAATCCCTGTCTCTTCGGTGTTTTCCTTAGGGTCCCAAAAACCTGTTGACTCTGCCAGAGTTCGGGATGGCCCCCCGGACTCTGCTTCCGACAGGTGGCCCGGAGCCGCCGGAGAACTGGCCGCTGCGGGCGGCCTTCAATGCCTTGCCCGGGGGCCCCAAACGCGGCGAGTCCGTCGGCCGGGGACGTCGCGGCGTCCTGGGACTTCCGGTCCTTTTGGGGGTGGACGTCAGTTTGGCGGTAACAAAAACAAACAGGAGGTCGTGAAATTTGGCTGTGGCTCAAAAAACCGGAACCAAAATGGAACCCGGGTAAAAGGAAACATGGACCAAAGCCTGCGTAACCCCTCCTGTTTAATTTTGAGCCACACCCATTTGGGGCCAGTCCACATACCAGTAGGCCTTTGTTTGGTTGTAACGGGGGTGCTAAGCCCCCATACCTTCCTTCCCACTCTGAGGGATATAAGAGGAACCCAGAGCGTTAAGTCTGCCATGTGAGCTTCACGGTCAAAGACCAGCGCCAAAGAGACCATCAGCAGCAATTGTTGGGACATGTTGGGATTTGTTTTCGTAGGGAGAACCCAACCCAAGCATGGTTATGCATTTCTTTAGATCCCAGATACGACCCATGAACAAAAGCTCGTATGTTGAGAAGAGCCGGGCTGGGCCATGTTTTAAACAACCAACCCCTGAAGCCAACGTACTTTGTTTGAGCAGACCGGGGCTTGGAACGCCCCACGCTGATCCTCCAGCAGTGGCGACCGGGGCTTGGAACGCCCCACGCTGATCCTCCAGCAGTGGCGAAAAGGGTTGGAGTCAAAGTCGAAACCACCCAACTCGTGGAGAACAATACGGAGAGTTGAGGGCCACTTCAACTTTCTTTTCGCCCCAATTTGCTCAGATACAGTGGTTATAAGTTATACTTAGGTCTTAAAGGCATTGGCGGCGTTGTAAATAGGACTTGCTTGGCAATTCCGGGTCTGGGCCGATTTCATGGGTTCTTTTGCGTCCTTAGCCAAAACCATATTGGTGCCAAAAGTCAATGGGTGAAACGTCGCGTAAGATCCTGCTTGCCCCCGAAATCAGTGGTTTAGTTTTTACAGGAGTTGTGCAAGGGCCACACTCCAAAAGCCATCCTTGATCCTTGCCAGTGGCTTAAAGATGGGCTATGTCCTCTTGGGGTATGGAAAACTGATCTGCGCCTCACATAATGAGGTCCAACTCCATCCAAAACGGGTGCTTTAACAGGAAACCAACTGGAACCAAACCAACTGTCTCAAAATCGTGACCCACCATTTTGGGGTGATTTCCCAGTCTGAAAAGGGTACCCTCCAACAAATCCCCCCCCAAACAAAAAGACCTAACACGCTGGGTTCCCTTTAGTTTCCTTTTGAAACCAACTGTCCTTGCTCCAAGTTGGTTTGCTGATTTCGATGCAACACGGGTGCTTTGACCGCACACTCACTGGAACCCAGGAAAAAAGAAAACACCAAGAAGGGGGGGTCCCCCAACCAAAACTCGTTTTGCTTTTTTTGAAGGAGGGTATCCCAACAAAGCCACGCCCTTTTGGTGGCTTGGGTTTTGCGAGAGGTCCGCCGCGCTGACGCTGGGCTCCGGCAACTCCCTGGGCCCGGAGGCGCCCGCGGCCACGCTGGGCCCGGGCCCCCGGGCCCCCGGGCCCCGGGCCCCCGGGTCCGAGGCAAAAACCGAGGGGAAGCCAATGGGAAACCCGAGGAAGCCAAAGGGAAACCAACATCGACCTCCAAAGACCAATGGGACACCAAAGGGAAAGCAAAGGGAAATCCAAAGGGGAAATCCAAGGGACACAAAAAGGGGAACACCTAAGAAAATGTAAGGGAAACCGGGGGAAACCAAAGGGAAACCCAATGGGAAACCAAAGGGAACCCATGAATTTGTTTGGGTTCCGATTCCCAAGATGAGAACCCATACAGCGGCTTCCTTTTGGCTCCGAGACTGCCCCAGAAAATAACAACCGTCAAGAAGGGGGCAAAGAAACCAACGCCTGTGTCAAAAACGATGCCCAGAAATGGTCGAGGTGCTTTTGGTTGCCCTTTGAAGGGTGACGAGGATACCTTGAAAAACACGGATTCAAGGGTCGATGCCGGATTTACAAAAATAATTTGGTTTTGAGTTGCTTCGTTGTGATGGAACGAATCACGGCCTCATGCCGGAATTCTTCAACCGGGGCCTGTCAGTCCTGTGCAGCAGCTCCCAAGGTGCCAATGTCGCATTTGGCTTGGGTCAGGCCGGAGGGCGTGGGCTTCTGTTACGAGCTGTCGTGTCAACCTCCAGTGAGGGTGCAGAGGTGCACAAGATGACCCCGGGACTGTCCTTTGGAACGTTGCGGCCTTTTTCGGCTCAAGTCCATTGCAGCAGGTCATCCATATTGCACCTTCTTATGTCCATGTGACTCGGCAATGAAGAGCAACGAGCCTGCTCAGCAGGCTTGGCATCTTTGTTGGTAACCACGGAGCCGAAAGACGGTTGTTCAAAAAAGGGGGCGTTCAGGCGTGGCCCGCGTATCCCCAAGCATTTGTGGCGGAAAGAAGTCGGAGCATTTGGGAACTTGGGGCTGAGTCCCTTCAACCTACAGCCTAGAGGGCGACTTTGATAGCGGTAAAATAATGGGAAGAAGGGGAGCTTCTCGCAAACAGGGTACCTGAAGGGCTTATGTCCCTCAAGGCCAACACATGATTGTGGGGGAGGGGCCAAATGCGAATATGAACCTCTACCTCATATCATGTAACCCATCGCCCCTCCCCAAGGACCACCTTCTCAGGGATCGATCCCCTTTAAGGGTTCCAAACCGACCTCAAAGGGTTTTGGCTCACAAGGACTCGTGTCAAACAACGCGAGGTGAAATTCCCTGCGAATGGCATGGTGCTGGGCGCTTCTTTGCTGCTCGGCCAAAGGGGGAACTCAGGAGCCAATCTGAGAAATGACATCCCTCACATTGCTCTTTGAACGGTGGCTTACACTCAAATTCAATCTCCGGACATCTTCCAAAAGCAATGTTGAGCGCACTCCTCGGTTTGTTTCCCTCTAATTTAAAAGAATGTTAGAGCGGAGGCCTCTCCACAACGTTTGGGAAATCAGGACGGTTCCTTGTGCTGATTCTTGGGCAAATTTATGCCCTCCCCCCCTCTGCAAGGAAAAACAACAAACAAACAAACACCACACACACACACACACGCACAAACGCGGGTTTCCTCCCAGAGGTTATGATGCCAAAACCTGCTTCAAAAAGCGACCTGCATCCCAAGGCCTGAGGCTACCCAATCCTGTCCCTGCTGCGTCCCGTGTGGTCCATAGTCATTACTGGCAGTTGTTCAGGCATGCTTCGGGGCAAATGTTTTAAGTCATGGACCAGCAGAGCCGATTTTTCCCATTCCAATGGGCGCGCCAGCCCAAATACTTGCCGGTCGGATTCATTCTTTGCTCCGGAAGGGTCGACTCCACTCCCTCGTGCACATGTCCAGCCCTGGGACGGCTTGGGCGTGTTTTTCAAAGAAAAGGCGGTCATATCCCAAACAATCCAAGGGCGTCCCTGGAAAGCGTGGCTTCCCATTGGTTCCCCTGGGCGCTACCCCGCTTTTGGTATTAAAGGGAAACTGAAGGGAAGCCGACCATTTTAGGGACCCCTATTTTGAGAACAGCAGGGGTTTGAGAACCCCGAGAGCCTCCGCGGCTCAGTTGCCGTTCCCGTTGGGGCAGCCACCACGCCGCGGCTCATGCGCCGAGTGGCTGCCGACGGTGAGCCTAAGCAGCAGGATGGGCGATGGGGTCAGAGACCGGGCACTTGTTGGAGCAAAACCGTCTCTGGAGCAGATGGGTTTGGCTTCTTGATGGTAGCTACCCTTTCTTGGCTTGCTTCAAAGGGAAAGTAAGTTCCCTGCCCCCGAGCGTTTCCTTTTTGGGATTGGTTGAAAGGGAAACTAAAAGGAAGCCACTCCCTCCATGTCCACTAAGACATCTTGGTCAGTTCTTGTCGAGCTCTGCCGGTCCCAGGTCGAGGACGGTCAAAGTATGCAATAGCCTATCATCCGTTTCACTTGAGACCCTAATGTCCACAACCAAAACCAGTGGAATCTCTAATTTGCCCATGTGCATAGAGAATATTTACAAATTTGGACTGTTGCACATGTTGCTCAAGATGGTTGACTCAACCAGGTCATCATCCTTGCAGCTGCACTGCCACTGCTCGAATGTGTTGAATGCTTCTCACCTCCTGCCGCAAGGTCGACTTAATATGTCACATACTTTTGTTTGCGCCAAACGCAGCGTTGCACAGCCTTCCATCGCCCAAACATTGAACTCAACTGCGATGCGATGTTGTAAGCCCTGACTTGCCCTTTCCAAGGAAATCGGCTTCCTGGATATGGCGGGCGAGGCCTGAAATTTCCTGAAACTCGAGAGAGGGGAGTTTTGCCAGTCAGAGATCCGAGCGAGGGGAAACTGCACTCTTCACCAGCCTCCAATTCTTTCTGGTTCTCATGGAGCCCCAAAGGTTGATCGGAATGACCAGGGTCGGCGTATGCTGAGAGCACTGGCCAAACGAGCAGGGATCAGCCGCGGGCTCTATTTTCTTTGAGCTGACACAGTTGGAAGTCTGGAGGCTTTCTTGTGCTGCATGACGGTCATGGGATAGTCGACTCAACTCATCTCAACTCCACAAGCGAACCGCAAGAAATGCTCAGCAACACAACCTTAGATTTACCAAGGATTCACAACGAAGGCTGCATTTTGCAGATGCCTTGGATCTTGCATCGCTTGCCCGCAGGCTGTGACAACAGTGGATGATCACCACCCGCCGCCATGCCGAAACTTTGCCTGCAACCAGTTGAGCGCTCAAAAGGCCCTGGCCACTTTAGACGGTTCTACTACCTGGCTTACATAGTAAGGATTATAGTATGGCCCCCATGCAAACCATTCCAGCTAGAACGGCGTAACCAAACGTCGCTGGGTTTTGGGCGTGGCTTATTTGAGTTTAGTTTGGCTCTTCGTGGGCACTCCTCAGGCGAAGAGTACAAGTGCGACCGCGAGAAAAGCCGACACAAGTCGAACATGCGTATTGCTGTGCTCCCTGGCTCAACACAAAGAGAAGACATGCCTGAGATTTCGGAAAGCTTGGATTGGACAGCTGAAAGATGGTGCAGTTGCGGACTGCGAGGTACACATACAACATCGGCAACTTGGCGAATCGTATTCGAAAAAGGAGCAATCTGACTTTGGCCCTGTCATTCGTCACTGTCCAATTGTTAACTGCTGCGGTCGTGAAAGTGATGTTTACCCAGTCTTTGTCATGAATACTCCCCTGTCAGTCACCATGAAACCTGAAAGGAGTGGTCCCCAAAAAGGAAATTCCTCTGACTACCTCATTGTTTTTTGGTTCCATGTTCATTTGCAGGGGAGTATGATGATAGAAACTGGCAAACCCGCAATCCCTTAAGTTGTTTGAGGTAACTAAAGAAGCAAATCTCATAGAACTCCGCTAAAGAAGCAAATCTCACAGAACTCCGCTAAAGAATGCAGTCACTATTGCGGTCCTACGAGGTTCTGCGGAATTTCAGACATGACCAGTAGATTCAAACCGCATGACTCTGCTTATTCTATGGCGAGCTCGACGATTCTTGCGTACGAGCCAAAACCCATGAGGTAGATCCTGTAATTACTTGAGATTTCACCCTTTAAAATCGGTTCCAAAATTCAGATGAGCGAACCAAGGTGGCTATGAAGCAATGCGCAGCGAGTACGTTCCCTGCGTACCAAAGGAGGTAGATGCCTTTTTGCTGCCTGGCGAGCAATGTCTTGGCTGAGACTCTGTCATTGCAAGATCCGTTTTTGTTTGAGTCTGCAATTAGAATCCTCTATGACACGCGTTCACGAGGTTCATGGATGCGCGGGAGCCCAGGGAGAGATTCACGGGTCCCGGGCCGTCCCGGGTCCAACCTGCAGATCAAGGGAGTGCAAACAAAGATCCAGCATGGGTAGAGCAATTCCCGATCCACTCTTTGTCTCTTTGGGTTGCACGTTATGTGGTGAGTAGCTGTTCAATGCGTGAAATGGTAAGGATAGGACCAGCCAGCCCCGAGTGAGGTTCCAGTGGCAATGGCGGGGTGTCCGCTGCTGGTTTTGATTTGGTTGTCTCTAGCAAGCCTCAAACATAGGTGGTTTCTCTCGGGGTGGTTTCTCTCGGATTTCTATTGTTACACCAACCCCCAACAGGGCAGCGCTGCCGCTTCGCTGAGGATGTGGGCATGCGGCGTTTCGGGCACACGGTGAAGCGCTGGCAAGAAGTGGGCTGGCACATCCGGAACTACTCCCAGGTCACAGGAGAGCGGCTCTTTCCCGCCAACTTGCTAAGGGTTGGCTCCAGGGTTCCACTTTTGACTACCCCCAAGATAGACTTAGAACCAGGGTGCCCCTTTTCGGGGCAATGAACCGATGCTGGGTTTGGAACCCTGGTTGGTTCTGGTCTGTTGTTTGCAAGCGTCATTCTTTTCAGGAAGCCACGTCCCCTTGTGTTTTCTGGCAAGAATGATCCATGGGTTTGGAATGGGGGAATTGCTCCAGACAAATGGGGCCTTCGAATGGTAAATGTGCAATGGCGCGATTGATCCCATTTGCTGAGCGGTAACCATAGGAAATTCCCACAATTTCGCTCAACGTGTAGTGTGTGTGGACGTTTGCAGATCAATTCTTCAGACAGGATCAGTTGAAATCGAAGTCTTGCAAGTGGCGAGGTCTGTATAAGATGCCATGTTCAACAATGCAACCATGGAGTTGCTTGAAATGCGGTACATGATTTCAAGTTCTGTTAGTCTTCCACGAGTCCAGCATACTGTGGATGGACGAAATCCTGCAGCACTTGGAAACAATGGGAAATCAATGTTTGATGATATTTACAGGGGAATCGAATCTTTCCAGGGTTTAGGTGCGAAATGGGTTTCGTCCATCCACACTACTTTTTTTTTTTTTTTTTTCCCCGCTCGTGCTTTGTCGCGAAGATGTGCGACGATTTTGCTTGGACCCGCGGATCCGACCAGGAACGAAGCATGTGTCTGGACCGCGGCTTACGAGCAAGTCATTGACACTTGGCTTGGGCTGACACCTGACGGGACCACATTCCGGCTGTGAGCCATTCCCAGGGGATGACACATTCCCGTAGCTGGTAACCAAAGAACGGGCCAAGCGGAAAAAAACAGAGGCATCAAGCGTGCCACGCAGGGAGTGGACGCAGGGCCACCAGAGGTCCTTCTCCAAAGCGGCTGGATTGGCCTTATTTTGTGTATGGTGTTTCCATGTGTGTCCTTTTCTTGTTGCTTTTTTTCCGGAAAAATCAAAGGGAGACCCAGTTTGAGTTTGGGAACCATGTCTTCATGCATGCAGCGGTGTTTTGGGCGCTCAATTGGGCGCTGGTCGAAGGAAGTTCACTCCGCCATCCTGGTTGCTGAACGGCGCCGCGGCATCAATGACCCTCAAAATGAGTGGTGTCCTTTTGATTTCCCTTGAAAGGGTATCTTCTCAAAAAGGACAAACTCAAAGCCCAGGCAGTTGAACAGAGTGGGCCACTTAAAACATCAGGCAAATACCAGCTGATTTAGATTTGTCAGGCAAGTGCATTTTTGATGTATCGCAAAAGGAAGGGGCAGAGGAGGACAGTCAAGAACAAAACGCATCCCCAGGTGTTGTGGCTTGGCCTGAGCCTATTACCCTCCCAAACATGGCTTTGTGCACAGGCATTGCGAAGACTACTGGGGAAGGGGCCTCTGCAGATCCATTGGTGAAAATAGTGCGTCAACTGTTTCTAGGTGCTGTCAAGGGTCAGAAACTGCCGTTGTTTCCCGTGCACCTACTGTGGATTTGATCCTGGTCTTCTGGCGCTTCCAGAAATCAAAGGGCGCCGAAGAAAGCGCGGCGACAGTCCCGGCAAATTGGGGCAGCTCCGAGGGAGCGAGTCCGGGTCCGGGTCCGAGGCACGTGGCACTGGTTGGTGGAGTACGACGGGAACATCGTGCTGGACCTGCACCGCCTCGAGCCCTTCCTCCGCAAAAAGCGGAAGCGGTCCCTGGCGCCTCGGCGTCTGTTTTTGCTTGTCTTTTGTCTTTTTCTTTTTTTGGCAAAGCGGAGGGGTGCGGCGGGGAGGAACACGGGGTTAGTTAGAATCCCTGAAATGTACCAGTTTATTGGAGGATGGGCCCAAATAATTATGGGGTGGTGGGGTAGTTTGAAAGCATGTTGAATAGCTTAGCCTTTGTGATTGAGCCCTTTTTGATCCACACAAAGCGGCTGCAGAGCTAAGAAGATGCGGTGAGTTAGAATGACCCCCCGAGCGTACAGGTTGTTGAAAGTCCCAAGCCGCATTCGTTCCAGCGGCTTCTTTTGCCACCATTGTTTGTTTGCGTGTTTTTCCAGTGTTTGTGTGTTTGTTTGTTTGCTTTTTTTTGTTTTTGTTTTTTTTTGCTTTTGTTTGTTTGTGTGTGTTTGTTTGTTTGTTTGTTTGTTTGTGTGTTTGTTTGTTTGTTTGTTTGTTTGTTTGTTTGTTTGTTTGTTTGTTTGTTTGTTTGTGTCTTTGCTTTGTTTGTGTCTTTGCTTTGTTTGTGTGTCTGCGCGTGTGGGTCGGGGTGGGTTAGCAGACCTCATATAGTTTGTTTCAAAATCAAGGACCAGTTTTGGGGGGACAATGGCACAGGTTTCAGCTTGGTTCCAATCATTTACTAGCAGTGGCGAACGCACTATGCATGTTCTGGTGCTTCCACATGGTGCCTGCTGACTGAGCTTTTGTCTAAGTGGAAGGCAGTCCGGTCCTGCCTTGTTTTCGGATTTCTCTTTTGACATGATTTCTTTCGAGCTTCATGAAATGTGAACAACATTCACAATTGATGGGAGGGGGCATCACGTGAGACTTTGGTTGCATGTTTGCGCAGACTCATCCTCAGCCCCAAAGAGCCAGGCAGGTATTTGTGTTCGGTTTGAAGTGCAGCCCGAGGTGCTGCTGAATTGGGGGTACCACACTGACTGCCCCGGCGATGGCTTTAAATGCTTCATGACCGAAGTGTCCAGCATGCTGACGGAAAGGTTGCAATATGTGCCGCGGCTGCACCTCAACAGCATGCACAGGTCATAGTTGCGATCGAATCCTTGATCCTAGGGGACAACCCAACGGAAATAGGTGGCCTTGCTTACACGTCTTTGGCTAGACTCCTTTGGTACGTAGTTTTCACTATGACTCAAAGGCCCTTTCAGGGGCCGGGATACCAAATGCTGCGAACATGTCACGAGGGACCGTCCATCCTTTTGTCAACACTTGCAGGTGGCTAGGAAGCAACCCGCCACCTCTCAAGATTCAGCTTCATACTCATTTAGCTTGTTTAATTCATCGCGTGGTGTAACTAATCGCGTGGTGTAATTAAGAGGCTGAGATTGAGTACGTCCACAAAACTAGGACTTGGGACTCACCAACATCTAGTTTGAACCTCACTAGACATGAACCATGACTTTCCAGTGAGGACACTGCACGGAGCCTTTGCGCGACCCCGAGAGGATCTGGAGGGGAATAGAGTGGGGCCCCTTAAAGAGGGAGTCCACACTTTCCGGGCGACAAAGGACCCCCGGACGCCTTGTTTCTGCGGCTGGCCCTCAGCGTTTGTTCAGGTGGCATCATCCAAGGAGAATGTGGTGAAATGGAAGGTGCGGCTTGGTGACAAGGGGATCTCAAAACTGAACTCATCCAGGGCAGCTTCCCTTTCGTCTCCCTGCAAAACAGGGTGACGGGACGGCGGTTCCGAACCCTTCGGTTTCCCTTTAGAGCGACGAAAAGAGGCAGCGGCAAA